TAAAAACAAAACCATGAGGGCGTGGTCGGGGCCCAAAGCGGACAATATCGTGCTACAGTGGTGGAGCGGACCTGGGAAGTGATCCGCCTTGTCACATCCCGGCCCGGGGCAGACCACTTCCCGAGCCTGCTCCACCACAGTAACACGATATTATCCACTTTGGGCCCCGACCACACCATCACGGCTTTGTTTCTGGGAACTCACGAGCAACTTCCCAATGGGTCACCCATCATGGGAGTGCTCTGGCCACCTTCTCGCTGAACTTGAGTTCCTACGGAAATCGAAGCCAGTGAGCTCCCAAAAGGCCTCGTGCTAGGTAGGGATAAGAATATACATTTAAGGATGACTCATCTGGGCGATGTGGTTTAAGGATGACTCCCCTGGGTGATGTAGGATGTTACAATCCACCCCTTTAGGGGCCCGACGTCCTCGTCGGCACACTTCCGGCCATGGATTGGCTCTGATACCAAATTGTCGCATCCCGGCCAAGGCTGCCACCACATCCCAGGCTCAACTTCGTCGTAGCATGATATTGTCTGTTTTGGGCCCCGACCACGCCCTCACGGTTTTGTTTCTGGGAACTCACGAGCAACTTTCCAGTAGGTCACCCATCATGGGAGTGCTCTGGCCACCTTCTCGCTTAACTTGAATTCCTACGGAACTCGAAACCAGTGAACTCCCAAAAGGCCTCATGCTAGGTAGGGATGAGAATATACATTTAAGTATCACTCCCATTGGCGATGTGGGATGTTACAATAACGATGTGCCAACAGAGTTAACCAGAAGAAAACTTATGTAACACGCGTTCTCGGTGTGTATTTTTGCATTGTATGTTGGTATTGTTGAAATATACTAAATCGGCCTTCTCTTTAAGAAAAGAAGAGTTTAAATATTCATGTCTTACTTTAATTAACTAACACTAAAACATTTTGTAATAAAACCTCATACATTTCGGCTGTTGTAATTAATAAGTTAATAGATTTTGTTGAAAGTGGACTTTTAGCCCGTCACTCTGTACCTTAATTCATGTATATTCAGCATCAATGAAATAGAGTTCTCATTTTTGTGGATTGCTTACCGCTTTCGATATGCATGTTTAATCAATGCGTGTTGGTATTGAAGATTGAAAACAATTTTGTGTTGAAAAGAACAAGCTACATGTACAAACAGTCAAAGTCGTCGCAGGAAACTAGGTGTATATATATATAGAGTTGATTGTTTTAGATTTGGCCTTTGAACTTTACGAAACGTGGGGCATTGTTAGTTTGAATGTTTTGTGGATGTGGACTCATTGACTCGTTGATGTAGCCAAATTAATTAAAATAATAATAATAAAATACAAATACAAACATAAAGAAGTTTAATAAATAAAATTTATTTTTATTTATAATTTTGTAAGTCATATAACACTCACATCAACAAAATATGAAAACAACACGCAACGAGTTACCAAACTAACAAAAAAAATTACAGAATTAAGGAAAATGCAGACTATTTACCCAACCATAATTTATTCTGAAAAAATAATCATTATTAAAAGGAGATGAATGATTTGAAATTATTATAATAATTAAGAGAACGAGTAATTTTGAACCCGAAACACATTGGTAAAAATCCATCACTTTACCCCAGTGAAATATTAAATCCTGGCAACAAAGCAAACAGGAATATCGACATAAGCCCCAGTTTGGGGTTGAGGTGATTTTAAAAAAAGCTCATATGAAAAAAAAACTAGGAGTGTTTTTGGTGTTTGGTAAACTTAAAAAAAAATGGCTTATTTTGGAAGCTGCTGTGAGAATAAGCTGAAATCAAAGGAAAAAGCTGAAGCTGCAATTTGTAGTTTGGAAAACTGGCTTTTTTTCAAAGCACATAGAACTACATTGCTCCTTTAATGAAAAGATCTACTATCAGACTGCTTTTTTTTCCAAAAGCACTTTTACAAAAAGTTTACCAAACACTCTGCTGATTTATTTCACAGCCACTTATTCTCACAGCACAACCGCTTATTCTCACAGCAGTTTTTTTTCAAAGCACAGCAATACCAGGTCAAAGAAATCAACTTTGGTTGGCCGAATAACATTATTCCTGTGACCGAAAAATATCATCTTCAGGTGAGCTTAAGTTATACGGGTCATCGTTGTCGTTGACCAAAAAATACTTAAATATATTTCATCTTCCCATCCATAATTATATTAAATTCTGGATCCATTTCCTGCAAGACTCGAAGCCAAGCCTTAGCTACTCTCTGCAACTATGGTAGTTCAAGCTCCGACTGACGGAAATTCTTCCAACCCCGACAATGTAAGTCTCTCTCTCCTTTCTCTTTCCGTAGGTACACGCGCGCGCGCGCACATACGCATATAGAAGACTGGTTTATACTGCCTTCAAGGACCGTGTTCATATGTTCTTGTTTTTGACTGGATTTTGATGCATTCGGGTTACATTTGGCTTGCGAATCGATTTGCTTTAAGAATTGTGTGCTGAACCGCAGGTGGACGAGAGACCGGAGAAGCGGTCGCAGATCATTGATGATGAAAAGGCAAGGAAGCAGAAGGAAATAAATGATTGGCTTCCAATTACTTCATCAAGGAATGCAAATTGGTGGTACGCAGCTTTCCACAATGTCAATTCCATGGTTGGAGCTGGTGTCCTAGGTCTTCCCTTTGCAATGTCCAATCTCGGATGGTATGTTTCAGCGAGCACACTGCCCTGACCAACTGGACTAAACCGCAGACAAGCTTTTAATTGTTTGTTTCATTCATTTCAGGGGTCCAGGATGTGTTGTAATGGTGCTCTCATGGGTGATCACTTTGTTCACGTTGTGGCAAATGGTTGAGATGCATGAAATGGTTCCCGGCAAGCGGTTCGATAGGTACCATGAGCTAGGGCAACACGCCTTCGGCGAAAAGCTTGGCCTCTGGATCGTGGTGCCTCAGCAGCTCGTATGCGAAGTTGGTGTTAACATTTTGTACATGGTCACAGGTGGACAATCCCTGCAGAAGATCCATAAGATAGTGAAGAAAGACAAGGATCCTATCAAGCTCACCTACTTCATCATGATCTTTGCCTCCGTGGAATTTGTCCTCTCCCATCTCCCCAACTTCAACTCCATCTCCGGCATCTCATTAGCCGCGGCGGTGATGTCACTAAGGTACATAAGAAACCGACGTCTTGCACAGAGAATTTCTACTTAAAACAAACTTGATTTTCATTGTGTTGGTCGCAGTTACTCCACTATAGCATGGACTACTTCAATCCACAAGGGTGTTCAGCCAGACGTAGAGTACGGGTACATAGCTCGAAGCACGTCAGGGACAGTCTTCAACTTCTTCAACGCCTTGGGGCAAGTAGCTTTTGCCTATGCAGGCCACAACGTGGTTTTGGAGATCCAAGCTACACTCCCCACTTCTCCAGAAAAGCCATCGAAGTATGCTATGTGGAGAGGGGTGGTGATCGCCTACATAGTGGTGGCCTTGTGCTATTTTCCGGTGGCTTTCATCGGATATTACACTTTTGGGAACACGGTGGAGGACAACATCCTAATCTCGTTAGAGAAACCCGGATGGCTCATTGTAACAGCAAACATGTTTGTCATCATCCATATCATTGGGGGTTATCAGGTAAATTTGCACCAGAGGTCTGCTCTTGGTAAACTTGGTCATTCGGTTCGATTTTGATCAAATCTTGTTGCAATGCAGCTTTTTGCAATGCCAGTATTTGACATGATGGAAACTGTGTTGGTAAAGAAACTGAATTTTCGGCCCACAACGAAGCTTCGCTTCATTACCAGGAATATATACGTCGGTGAGTTTGAGAACGGACTTACCTCCGTTATGCGATTACTGAGTGTATTGCGTTGCTTGAATTGATGTTCTTCGTGTGTGATAATTTCAGCGTTCACAATGGTCGTCGGAATGACCTTTCCCTTCTTCGGTGGTATCATGGGATTCCTCGGAGGATTTGCTTATTCCCCAACATCATACTATGTAAGTCCCATGTCTGTCCGTCTCTTTGTTTGCAGTCAAATCTAAGTTTAAATCTCACTCACTCACTCTCCGTTTGATTTCGTTCTTCAAGCTCCCGTGCATTATATGGCTAGCCATCAAGAAACCGCGCAAGTTTAGCCTATCGTGGTTTATTAACTGGGTACGTACGTAACTTCTTTCGTTCAAAGGTGGTAAAACCAGACCTCCATTAACAATTGCTGTCCTCGATTTCAGATTTGCATCATACTCGGCGTCCTGCTGATGATCGTCTCGCCTATCGGAGGTCTCCGGAATATCATACTTCAGGCCAAGGAATACCACTTCTACAATTAACGAACTTGTCACGCACACGAACAAAACTAGTCTACTCTGTAAAATCAATGCATTATATTTAGCTGCAAGCTTATGTGACGAATAAGTACCACGAAAGACACACGAAAACGAGGTTTTCCATCTCTCTTGGTTTCGGTTAGGAACGACGAACTTCGACATCCTACCAAGCACAGCAAAGTTGAAAGTCCACCCAAAACCAAAGCATTTGGGAGGAAGAAGAACATTGCTGAACAAGGAAAGGTTCAAATTTTGGGTTTGCTTCAATTCTTCAACTAGATAATAGGGTATCAATTTATTTATTTCATTTGCCAATAATTGATACGTCTTTCAACAAAGACAACTTCAATTCAGGCAAACATATCCAGACGTGAGTTATGCCAGTTAGTTACAATATTGTGCCTGCTTGTTGTACCAAGTTCGAATCCCTTATTGTAAGTTAGAGCATAATAGAATATCGCTTTGTCAAGAGAATTCAAGCAATCCTACGCATAAACTAGCCAATTGCAACAACAAGCAAACACGTCTCCCCGCTTTGCAAGGGTCAGGGGAACGGCTATCGTGCGTAGCTTACCCTTACTTTGCAAATAGATTGTTTCTACAACTGAACCCATGGTCTTTCGATCGTAAAAGAGTAACTTTTTCGTTGCGCCAAGACTTGCGGTCTGGCCAATTGTAACAACATTTGAATAAAAAAACTATGAAACTGTGATTAAGAATACATGTTGCAAATTGTTACATATATAACCACTAATAAAACAACCCAAATTGTTATTAAGCTTTTGAGAAACAGCTCAAATTTTCAATTTCAAATCTCTAATTATCTAGTTTTCTTTTCCAATTCGCCGGTCCGGGCTCTAAACAATTCCACCCAGAGATTGGAAATCCACAAAATGCTGACAGAAATGGCGGCCACCACCACCACAATCCAAGAAACCCAAACCCACCGCGGAATCAATCCGTCGGCGGCGCCGCTGATGTAAAACGCCCCCATCTGGTACACGAAATACGGACCCACAAAGCCACGGACAATCGAATACAAAATGTAAAATGGAGGAGACAAAAGATCATACACTTTAGCTGCAAACTTCAAGTCGCTTCTCCTGGCGTTGGCGAGCGTCCAGACGTTCTGGCAGAGGCTGGTGACCTCGGCGAGGATCAGGAGGGAGAGAATGGCGAATGCGCCGTGGGAGGCGACGTAGCGGCAGGTGAGGAAGACGAAGAGCGTGGCAAGGTGGTGGCCGATGAAGAGGACGTCGCTGGGGAAGAAGACGAGGTAGTGGAGGAGATCGGTGAGGAAGTAGGCGACGCTGTAGTCGAGGACGGAGTTCTGGAAAAGGGTGTTGGGGGCGGCGAATCCGGTGGCGGGGTCGGAGAGGATGGCGTAAGTGGAGAGGAGTACGGCGGGGGTGCCGTGGGCGAGGGAGATTAGGCAGCTGGAGGCTTCGGGTCGGATCTTGGGGCTCCAAGTTCGTAAGACGATGAAGTAGGCAATGAGGTAGATGATGGAGAACATGAGGAAGAAGATGGGGAGGCATGGAAGGGGGAAGTGGATTGGGTTTTGGGTTTCCAATTCCATTTGAGCTGGAAATGAAATCAAAGGCCTTCCGCGAAGATTACGGAAAACGACGACTGGTGTGGTCGGTGACTCTCTATACGGACTGACTGCGTTTGAGTTGGAGAGAGTTCAAAATAATTTGGTGCCCTTTTGAACCGCTAACTCTATTTAGAGTAACTCCAGTGGAGGAGCCTCCGCCACTCTATTCATTATTTAATCCACTTAGAGCAACTCCACCCATAGAGCCCTCCCTCTGGCAATCCACTGTTCAATCCACCCTATTGAACAGTAACTGCCTTAAATGAATAGTAATTACAATTAATGAACAGTAATTGCCATTTACATCTCCACCCTTAGAACCCTCCCCCTGGCAATAAGCAATAAAAATAATAGTTTTTTATGTTTGTTTAAATAATAAAAAATTACAAAAGCTATCTCTCTCTCTGACACAAAAAAAATAAAAAATTACAAAACCCTCGGGCCACAGGCCCGTCGACTCCCCACCCCCCCTTCGCTCGACCTCCCACTCTCACTCGAGCCCTTCCCCGCTGGATTTGCTCCCACCGGCCCGAGGGCCCTTTCTCCTCGCCTGACGCCCGAGCAACCAGCAAGGCTGGAGTTGCTCTTAGTGAAGAGTAATTGCTCGTAATGAATAGTATATTTTCTGGCAATTATCTTTTGCATCTCTACCCTTGCACTGAATTGCCCTGGCAAATGGCTATAAAATATTATTAATTTTTTATTTATAAAATAATACATAATAATTTTATTTGTAATTTCGGATAAAATTTTTTATAGTTCTCGTTGCGCCACGTGTCATTATCCGAAAAGCCAATAGCAATAAATTTTTTGTATTTTTGTATTTATAAAATAATTCAAAAGAATTTTATTTGTCTACTTGTACAAAGCGATACTTTGCCGAAAATTTTATTCAGATCCATTTATTCTCTTTTTACGATTAATGTATTATTTTTAATCTTAAAATTTCAAATGTGGCCGGAACTCTCTTTCTATGTTCAAAATGTAAAAAGAACAAAAAAAATAAAAAAATTCCAGCACTAGAAAACACTGACCACCACCAACTCCTATCCCTCCCTAATCCCCCACCATCACCTCCCTTACCACCCACAATGAAATCCCGAAAAGATCTCAACAATCAATCCCTCTCTCGACCTTTCTCTGGCCACACTACAACTCTATCTTTCACGCAATCCTTCTAACATGTTTGAACTCCGCTGAAACTGTCGACCCTTCAAATCTAACGGTTGGACCATTGAGTGTACGATACAGGTGTAAAATCACAATTTTGATATTATCATGAATTTTGCCAAAAAAAAAATCACATAAATTTCTTTTGGGTTGAGGTTTGGGGAGATAGGGTGTCCAAAGATGCCTAATTTATTTATTTATTTTTGTTCTTGTTGGATGTAGGCAGAATTATTGAGCACATTTGGAATTTCATGATAATAAATAATAAGTTAGGTGTAGAAAAAGAATAAATAGATCCAAATAAAGTTTTCCTATTCTAAATCATTATGTCACAAAATTAACTCTCACACGATACTAGAAACACGGTCTGATACACCAAGTGTCGTTATACAATTGAAAGTTATAATTTCTTTTTTTTTACTTTAAGCTTAACTCAAATTTTCCTCAATAATTTGGAAACGTTATAATCATATATAACTTTGATGTTATCTGCAGTGTCATATTTATCTTTGAGTATGACGCTAATGCTCAAATGAGACTTTGCCTTTTTCTAAAGATACAAAAATTATGTTTAACTATGATTTGACGGTTTAATGCCTCTGCTTAAAAGATTAAAAGTCAAATTTAACTATGTTTGCTAAGTTGCACCACAAAATTTACAATCATATATGTGCTTTTAACTAGTAACTTTTGTCTTTTAGATTGGAGATGGTTTTAGGTGCAATAGACGAGCACTGGCCTTGTACTCGTGAACGGAGAAAGACTTGCATACACCGCGCGAACGATAAGTTTCCTCGTTGAAAGCATTAACAACAAAAGTGCGCAGACATTTCTTCTTTTTCAATCCTCTTATCAAAATATTATATTTTGTGCTCCCTTGGTTCGTCCATGAGTACAAAAGCAGCAAACGATTTAATCAATTTCTCCTTCTTCTATATCATTTACAGGACTTATAGAAGCACTTACAGGACTTGGAGGAACACTACTTACAGGATCCGCGTCTTCCTCCTCTTCATCGTCTTTCATGTACAGGCCAAGTTGTTCCAACGGGTTACTCCCCCCAAACTTAAAGCCGCCTAAGCATTCCTGCGAGTGATCAGGGCTCGTTTCGTCTACAGAGCTCGGTAGCTGCTCCGCAGGGGCAGTTCTAAGCATCTCCAGATCTTTAAGAAACCGAGAGTTCTCATTGATTTCAACAGTCTTTTCTATCTGTACACATACAATTTCCCAATTAAAATCCAGAGACACTCGAGGGGTATATTTAAGCAACATACGAGGAGGTGTCGTGATTTACCTGCATCAATGCCTGCCTTGCTGCTTCTCTCTCAAGCTCCCTCTTCCGTTTAGCCTCAGCTGCAGCTTCTGCTTCTGCTCGCCTTCGAGCATCCTCAGCAGCCTTAGCTTCCGCTTGTAACCGCGCTTTCTCTGCTCATATAGTGGCAACATAATAAGCTAATTTAAACCAACAGACATTTCAGTTCAATGAACTCGGGGATGTCGGTGAACATGGTGTGCAATCAAACGACTCGTTGCAAAATTTTATGCCACCAACCCAATACAACACATGCACACAACAAAGGAATTGATGCAAACAGAAAAGTAAACTTTAAACGTAAAGATCTGCACCTTTCTTCTGTTGCAATTCAAGTTCCTCCCTCTGCCTCCGCAATTTCTCAGGATCTTCTTTATCACCCTGATCTCAGCCAGATCAAATTGCACCGGATCACATCCAGGGTAGAAAATACTAGCAAAATGGATTCATACAAACGCGGTAAGTACACAAGTAGCGTGACTCTGTAACCCACCTGATTAAGTGTTTTCTCTCGTGCTCTTAGAATGGTATCAGCAAAACGATTCTTCAATAGAGCAGCCCTGTACTGCTTCTCAGGGGAGACTGACCTCTCTGGAGGAGCACTGTCTCCTACATTTTTTTAGAGATGAATTGAACTATGAGATGCTACCACAAAACCAACAGCATAGCTACTATTTTTTAAATCAAATACTGTTTTTTTTTTCTTTATATTGGTTTAACTCTTTGGCTTACCATGCTGGCAACAATCTGACTCAACAGGACTTGGCTTCTGCTGGGAACTTTGTTCAACTTGATCCAACCCACTATCAGAATCTGTAAGATCCCATGGTTTAGAAAATTTAATGATCCACAAGTAATTCAAAATCCATAAATACAATCATATTTCAGAGAAGTCCAAACCACGTCATTAGTAGAGTACAACCAAGATGGTTACTAAAATGACTGACAATTCTTCATGCCCCATCATTAAGCTATATATGGTAATAAATGATCCGATGGCAGCATAAATGAGATCATGTTTATTATATAAACGAAAACATGTTTTATTATAAATAAGAGGTGATCAGATGTTCTGCATCTGGCAACAGAAAACATGATACACTCTTCCAAACACTTTAATCTCTATTTTAAGCAGGAAGGTGCTTCCTCTCTATTCATGATCCTGTTTAATTTCCTGCCCAAGACGTTGTCAAAAAGATTCCCTATTATTTTCTATAACTATGCACACTATTCTAGACCCACCCTGTGTTTCTCATGCAACACCTAGAGAATGGAAGGAGGAATGTAATTTTATTAAAAAGATACTCACGATTTCCTTCGAGTGGATTATCAATTGTTGTCTTTTCATCTAAATGAGTTCCAGAACCCACAGTTTCTGGTACCTGAAGAATAATTAAGTATAATGTCAGGTCCGTCAGTCAAACCACTACCCATACACTATTGTACCACACAAACTCAATAGCACACAGCATAATAGCTCATAAACCATCCATCATGAGAGGTACACAAATTGATTTGATGTGTTTAACATAAAAATTCAGACAGCTTATGCTCATTTACCGGACTTCCAGCCTTCACATCATCACATTCACTCTCAGAACTGCTAGAATCTGAATCTGTAAAGCATACACAAGATACAAAATCATTTAGTGTTTATGAAACTCAGGAAAAAATATCACATTTCTCTTTTACAAGCATGCGTAGCCTTTTTTTTTTGTTGGCCTCAATTTAAGTCCAAACTTGAACACTATATTTGCTCCAACAAGCCCTACTCTAATTTTTTTTTCTGCCTCCATTAAATAAAGCTAAAAGATGATACAATTTAATGCATGAAATTAGAGAAATAAAAAGTTGCTTCAACAAGCCCTACACAAGCTCAGAAACCTATGAAGACCCAAAACACGGACAAAAAGTCAAGAAACAGAACATATGAAGGATCTAAACAAAGAAACATGGGATAAACTCAATTTACCACTGGAGCTGCTTGAGCTGATGGCTTTACTACTTTTACGGCCAGTATCCATTTCTATCTCTACAGGAGGATAGCTTGAGACAGGAGGCTCATTTCCACCAATATCAACATCTTCATCAGCCGGGTCATTCCCTACAAATGCACATACGTGAGGTGGGGGGAACTAAAACTGAAGTCGGCACTTATATATGCAAGTAGATAAAGAAGCATATGACCTTTACATGGCTGCATGGATGAATTGCTCAACCCTGATTCATTGACAAGCTGCAATAATATTGACAACAAACTATGTTTTTATTATTCTATTTGATTCAGGAATAGGAAAAAGGTGACGTCGAGCTAATACCTCCATTGAACAAGGTTCAGCGCTTACATGGTTCTTTTGTTTCTCTTGCAAATACTCATTTAAAAGCCTCCGTAATGTGAACAAGGTATCATCACTTAGAACATCAATATCAATCTCGATCTCATCCTCACCAGAGTCCTTTCCATTTGAACTATGTTCCTTCAAGAAATCAATGATGCGTAAGGGCATTTCTCCAATCAAAGACTCCAACTCTCTGCTCAGATTGAGCTTCTCCTCCGTTGTCATTACTCGCTTAGGAGGCTCAGACTTGACTTCATTGTGCACTGACGTGATAGTCCTCTTTTTTGAGGGGGGTAATGGTTTAGGAGTTTCTATGCCTTCATGAGGACCAGATTTAGTTGGCGGTTGTTGGCAATCAGCCTTTGGCAGTTTTTTCTCAATGGTTTTCCACCTGACTTCAAAAAATTTGCTAAGAGTATCAGCCATGTTATAGACCTTATTTTGTGGTGGATTGTACGTCATAGCATTGGTGAAAGTCATCCTGACATCAGCAGCAAACTCCAGTGGGGTTGAGTAAGATCCTGAAGCTACCTTGCTCTTTATTGTACCCAAGTCCATTGGATGTTTAATAACAGTGAAATAATCAGGAATGTTCAACTTCACCACATCAACAGGTTCATTGAAAAGCCAACTGGATTGATGGGACATCAACCGTTTCAATAGTGCCTCACATTGTTTCATAAGAATCACACTAGCAGTCCTAGAGTCAAACCTCCCAGAAGTTTCCGGATTCCGTTTCTGTGCTTTTGAAGCCCCAGGATTCAGTCTTTTACCTGGCTCAGAAATCATTGTGGACGACTTTCTAAAATTATTGACATGCGGCCCATTCTGGCCATTGCTGATGATATCACTAGAAGAGGACACTGCAACACCATTGGCTCTATGCATTTCAAATTTCTTCCGAAGTATTCGTATCTGTTCAAGTTCCATATTCAACCTATGTTTCAAATCCTTCTTCTCTGATGACAGCATGTTTGACAGGGGAAGTATTTGTATGGGCACACCAAAACTGTCACGGTTACTAGAATTCAAACTAATAGATTTCCTCGTCGGAGCACTTGAATCCTCCGAGCCAGTAACTTCTGCGTCGATTCTTCCTGAGCTACCGGAGCATTCACCAGCCTGCCCAAAAGCACTGCCATAGTACCCTCCCCTTCCCGGGTTCTTGTTCTTCTTGGCCATGACCAAATATCTCAAAGAATCTCCTAGCACTATTCTTTATACCATAACAGTGATTTTCCAGTTAAACAAAAAGGGGTCAGCTAGGTTGCCTAGGAAGGAGCAATAAAATCAAGTTCTCCAATTTAACCGCCAAAATTATTACTTTTCGATACCAAAAAAACACATACGAAGAAGAAACTTAGCAGAGCTTAATTTTAAATTATCTTAAAAAAAAAAATTGAGAACCAACAATCCAACGAAGAAGAAACATTCATCACAAAGTTTAACAACAGTAACATTAAGTCCTGGGTAAGTTCCAGTGCTCAATTTTTATACAAGAAGTGAAAATTGGACAAAATTGAATTAAAACCCTAAATCTTGCACAGCAACTAATTCGACAAAATTGAACTACATAAATCACAAAAAATCCCAAAATTGAAAGTAATCCCCAACCCTAGAAAAATACCTGTAGTAATTTCTGGGCTGCCCACTTGAGTTCCAGAGCTCTCCTGCGATCAAATTACACGAAGTCTTCTGCGCGATGACAAATCGAGGTCGAGAACACTTCAGAGCAATGAGACGCAGAAACTGCGAAGGGTGGAGAGTGCAGAGTAAGTAAAACACCCTAGAATCCCCGACTTGAACAGTGACCGGATCGCTACCCGTACCCGCCTGAAGCGACGAAGAAGAAGATTAGCTTGAAGAATGCGAGGTTTCTTTCTTTCCCGCAGAGCAAAATCACGACTTCAAAAAAAAAAAAAAAAAACAGAAAAAAAAAATATCACTCCGACTGCCTTGACTGTCAAAGCCTTCTGATTTAAATATCGGTTAAAACAGGTGTCGACCATTGGATAGAATTTAACCGACTATTGACGAGGTTTCGAATTTCAGCCGTTGGATCTGATTTAGCGGTTATGCTGATGGAAGCGGATTAGCGGGTGATTTTTTTTCTTTTAGAAGGCTCTTTATCTAAAACTGTGCCTAAGATTGGTATATGGTTCGTTTGGACATGCTTTTAGTATAAATGAAAGCGTTTTTGGTGAAAATATTTTTAGAATCAATCTTTAGTAAATATGTAAGTAAATCCTATAAAAGTACTTAAATGCTTTCTGGAAGAAGCACATAATTGGTGCTTCTTGCATAAACACTTTAAGTACTTTTGAAATCTAAAAACATTTTTTTCTAAAAAAACACTTTCAATCATTTTAAAAACACATCCAAACGAGCTCATAACTTTTTATTTGGTCAATGAGATTTGAAATTGATAGAGCTAGTTTTTGAGTTTGTTCACCATCAATCACTTTGGTTGTTCTGTGAAAAATCTGTATTAAATAAAGACCAAAATGACAAATATACCAAAGTGATTAACACTGAATAAACTCAAGACCAGTTTCTATCAATTCAAATCCCAGGAATTAATATGATAAGTTATACAAATATTAGAATGGAATTTTAACGAAAAGTTCTCGGTACTGTTTACTTTAACGAAAAATCATATTTTTACTCTAAAAAGTAAATACTGATACTATTTACTTTACCCTTTATTTTGCTCTTATCGTTAAAACTCAAAAACTCGAAGTTTTCAAACTTTTTTCATTAGTTTTCTTATATTATAAACCATTTTATATAGAAAATTTAGCAAAATCATGTTCAAAATTACTCTTTAAAAAAAAAAAAAAACCATTCGATATAAAAAAAAAATTAAAAAAAGTTTAAACCCTTAAGACCATCACTCTCACCCCTCTTGCCGCCACTCTCCTCGGCCTCACCCACCTCCCCCGCCGCCTCCCTTCCCCGCACTACGGATACCTCACTGGCCGGCGAAATCACGCAGGTCCCCAAGTTCCTACTTTAAATTCTTTGTCATTTCTGTGTGACATTTGTATAGACAATCTGATTACCCAGAAGAGCAAATCGTTCAAGGTAATCTTTCCTTTTTCTGGGTGATTTTTTATCTTTAGCCAAGATCAATTTTTGTTCACAGTTATCATATAAATTTTGGTGAATTATTTTCCTTTTTTATGTTAAATCTCCAGTTTGTAGGTTGTAGGTTGTAGGTTGTAAGGGACATGATCCATGCTTCTTTTCCTACTGCTTGCAAGGCTTTGTAAGAATTCGTAACTCTTAATCTTTACACATTATGAATTTACTTACTTCCGGAGATAATTTTTTGCTGTTTTCGATTTAAGGAAGAGAATTGTTGTAAATAGTATGTTTTTGGTTCATTTCAGTGACTGTTGAGTCGGGTTTCGATTTCTCAGCCTCCCATGTTGAAAAATGTTTAGTTGTATAGCCATTATTGAAAAATTTGAACTTGAGTAACCAAGAATGAACGTTGAATGGTAGGTTTCGGAAATTGGTCGAAATTGGTCGAAATTGGTTGAGGAGAGGTTGAGGGAGTTATCTAATAGAGTACACTAGCAATTGAGGCCCGCGCGATGCTGCGGGTTTCAAAATAATCTTAAACATGTACAAAGTAGGGCTTATATACATGAGAAAATATGTGCCAAAGTAAGGGATATACATATATTACATTCTTATATTACACGACAAAAATTGAGATGGTCGTACGCCATAGCCAGAGAGTTCTATTTACATTTATATATTACATGCAAAAAGTTGAGGATGTTAGTATATCATCCTCAGAGATTGTTTTTCAAAAGCTATGGTCCTATCCCAGGGAGACTTTTACGTTTAAAACTGTACACAGCTCAAAAAGTAAGATTTGTTTCACTAAAGACACCCATATACGTAACTCCTCACGTTAATGGTGCCTCCTCCATCTTGCATGACAACGATGAACTAAAGAAAAAAAAACATTGACATAAGAATTGAATGACTCTAAATTGCATATATTTTGCAGCCATACTAAATAAACTCTCTAGATTTTCCAGTTGGTCTCATCGACAACCCAAATGAAATATTTATATCTATATTATGCAATATTTATAAGATATAGTTCTGTGTTAGAGAAACTACTCATTAAAGATGGGAAAAAAATTGTTAAGAAAATTGATTTATGAGTGTTGGGATCCATACTCTATTCACTGGGAGTTTTATCTGTGTTTGCTACATTCTCGTCATCGGTCTCTTCAAATGCATAGGTCTCTTCACTGTATCCACTTGTGGTATCACTTGGATCATGTAAAATGAAGAGAGATTAAAGCATCAATGCACATCTAGTAATGGAAAAAAGGTTTATGTCAATTATTTATTTTTTTATAAAGACTAACCTTTTAGATTTTTTTTGTTGGTGTAGAGGTGAAAAGACTCTTTTTGACTGGCTCCCTTTGTCGTTTCTTTGAACTTGAACTGCTCTCAGTTGGAGATGGAAGGTAGAGATTTCTTGAGTGAGAGTGGTGGTGTGCATGGTAACATTTCATGAACCATATGTTTCTTCCCAAGGTTACTTATTGCTTCATCATCTTTGTTGTTGTTTGAAGGGTGAATTTGTGCTTGATCCTTGAAAACAGTTTGGATGAGCAAGTCATTTCTGCTTGTGTCACTTTTAACTTTCCCAAGTCTGAGTTGGAAAAGTTTGATTTGACCTTTTACTCGAAGTATTTGTTGTGGTAATTCCTTTTGGTCACAGAAACTTTTGTTGATTACTAATTCTTCACATGTGATTCCAAATAGTTCTTCGGCTGATTTACCTATAATGATGGCATTGGTTTCGTCATTGGCATCTTCAAGAATTAAACTAACTTTGAACCTGCGTTGAAATTGATGTGATTATTTATAAAGAAGTATAATTAAGTTTATGTTTTATATAGTAATAGATTCAGAGGAATTTTGTATTACCAAGCAATAGGGTTTTGAATATCATCAGTTGGACAAACCAGCAGGTCACTTTGAGGCTTTGGTTTTAGTTGTTTGAAGCAGATTGGACATGCCTTGTACCACCAGCCGTTACTCAAATCAAACGTACAACTGCTGCTCTGCACAGAAATGGAGTGTTCTGCAATATTTGTTAAAGAATGATGAGTATAATTTGAACAGACACGAACCTACATTCTTATACTCTTCATCCCGTTTTCAGGAAATGTTTCAGACATCAATGAAAACTGTCTGTGCAATCAAAACAGAATTTCTATTATACTAATTGCATGGATACAAAAGCTGACAACCTAGAAAAACGAATTTTGAGACCAATATAACACTGTTAAATATACAACATTGTTAAATTTGGAATGCATTCCATTTTACCTCATAAAGATTTGGATCCAAGATATTCAATTGCCCTATTGATAGTTTTTCAGCGGCATCCAATTGATCTGGTGTCATTAGTTGTGCTGAGGTTGGAATCATTTTCAAAGCATGATTGGAACTGGCAAAGTTTTTGCACATTTTTGTGTTAAGTGGCAACACAATGAGATTGAATTTTAATATTATTTGAGTGATATATATATATATATATATATTGTTCAGAAAATGGTAAAAAAAACTTACATCGATTTGTAATTTGCTGCTTCTGGTATTTTTGGGTTTATGAAAAACAAAGTGCATCCGGTACTGCTAAGCATTGTGTTTCCTGTGGGTTTGCAGATGTGGAAGCATGTTATTTTTTTGTAATACAATGTAAACATTGGAAAGAAGTAAAGTTAAGTTGTATACCTAGGAACCGTTTTACTTTGAGACTTGTGAACACAGCCACAATTGGTGATGGTTGTTATGTTACAACTTCAATATCAAAGGTCCTGGCGCAGTCTCCCCAAAGTGTAACTCTCACTTCTTTGTTTCTGACCAAAGAAGTTAGAGCAAAATATTACGAAACATTTCCAACTCGTTTACTTTTGGAGTCCATATATGTGTGTGTGAAAACCATTTTGCAGAACACTCCATTTATGTGCACAGCATTTCCAACTCGTTTACTTTCAGATTTTCACCAACCTAGCAACCTTCAGTTCTTCGACAATCGACATTCACATATCAAAAGAAGAAAAAAATTAAAAACAGAACTTGATTACTCATTAATGAAATCACCTTAAATTGCATATGGATCACCATAGGTTCAGGTTCCTGCATCAATAGTTTTTGTATTCCACCCATCTAAATACAATTGCCTATTCTTTCCCATAATGTCAGTCATGTTATAGTTGAATATACGCTTGACACGTATTCAATGTCTAATGAACGATTACCACATGATAAAATGATTACCTGGTGTTTTGAAGGTGAACGTCACATTTTGTTTCCAGTCTTTCTTTGTTAACCATTCTGTCTTCCAATGGTTGCACTGCTGTGATATGTCCCATAACATCTTGCAATATGGCAATCCAATATCATAAGATTATAGCATGAAAAAATGTTGACAAACAAAAATGGCATATAGATGTAGGTTTATAAATGTGTTTAATTACCTGTGAGAATTTCAACTTTACCTACACGGGATAACAATTCACTGTAATCCACTAAATAAAAGCGGTGCTCAGGAATGTGTGGAGGTCTTTCTGGTATTTGTTTGAAAGTTGTTTTCCCATTGAAGTATAGTTGTACAGTGTGTGGTATGACCTTGTACGTTTGTTTACTGGAACGGCTATGCAACCGTGTGATCTCATATATACAACCAACTTTAATTTTTGGAGCTACTATCTCATAGTCTGCTTCTAAGACCAAGGCTTCAATGGCATCATTCTGCATTACAAAAATTATAAAGAGTTATTTATAGCTTTCTCTTCTTTTTGAAATTATAGTTTTAACTATATTACATTTAAACAAAATGGTTTTCTCACCAGTTCATCAACCGGTACACATTGTAAGCCATTGAATTGGTTTTGGCGTCCAAACATTTTGGGTCTCCACAACCGGCATATTCTAACTTTGATCTTCATATCGTTTCTAAAAGGCTTTAATTCACAGATTGGTACGATGCTCATTGTTTTGTAAGTCTGCAGACATAGTATATATATTGTTAGAAAGAAAGTGTGTTTATTATCAAAATCTATGTTGGCAATATGTAAATGTTTACAAACTTGCAGTGAAAAAAAATTACACAAAAGCTATCAAAAGCTATCAAAATGATACATCGAAGCACACCATCTGCCCAACCTTGGATACAGTGGAAAAAGAGAATTCATAAGATTTGCTATGGTATAAGATTCACAAATTTGCAATAATAAAGTAAGTATTAAAAGAATATGCAACATGCTATCTAATAATGCTTTAAAACAGTAACAAACATAACATGTGTAATGCATATATCCTATCAGTACACAAATTATTACATACATTTACATATCAATATGCTTGTGAGCAAGATAAAGAACAAAAGGACCTCCAGCAATTTACAATGGTTAGGCAAACACATTCGAAATAAGAACTCATCAAACATTGTTCCAAAAGGATGGTCATCAAGTTAGAGGAGGGAAGCGGTGGAATTATTTTCATTATGTTAACATCTATCTGACTTCCTAATTTTCTTTGTATCCAAATACTGAGTTTTGTTTTTCATTCTTTTTAAGGTATCAGAAACGATTATGCCCCCCAACTGTTGATTACAATCTTCATTGTCTCTATTTCTCTTGTTTCTTCATTAAAAAGGTTTTTGTAATAGTTGATGCCTATTGTAGGCAACATCTCACCTCCTCAACAATAAAATGTATCTAAAGACCCAATTAATGAAATTACAAACGAAGAACAACCCAATTGATAAATTGATGAATTCGTACTTATACAGACAACAAACAGAGGAACGGGGAAAATATATATATACAACAGACTGGTTCGAACAATTCAACAATTAGCATGAAGAGAACAGTGCTTCCACCGAAAAATAAAGGGAAAAATGGTGATAATTCTGAGCACCATTTCAAAAAAAAAATTAACCATTATGCACTTGATAATCACAAATGAGATCATAAGGTCCAAAAAATTAACCGCTCAACTCCAAACTATGAAAATACCAAATTAAACACAGAAATATCACAACCCCAAACCCAAACAGAACCCCAAATCAATTAAAAAAAAAAGCCTCAACCCGTATTAAAAAAAAATGCTCCAATCCGTGTCTCTCTCATTTTTCCCTTCCCTTGCTCTATACTCTTTGCCAGGAAAATCCTAACAGAGGACATGTTAACCATTTTTTTCCCCAAAACAAAAAATAAAATAAAAAACCTTCAAAACACCCCATACGATCCCAAATTCTCAAATCCGTTCAAAGAAACTTAGCATGAAATCACAGCAACTTCACAAATCCTCTTCATATCTGCATCAAAAATAACGAAAAAGAAGTGCAATCAACCCAAGAAACAAAAGATCAGTAGAAACAAACCAAGAAAATCAAGTATCGGAGAAAAATTATCCATCAGCATTTCTCCTTTTTACCTGAGGACTCGAGCTGGGCTCTGAGAGAGAAGTCGAGATGTTTCGTAGTTTCTCCAAAATAGAGCTTGTGGTTGCTGCGCGAGAGAGAGCTCGTTGTTTCTGCAAGCAAATGGATAAAGGTCGGCTTTTCCGCCTTCTTCTTTCAATCACGAACACGTGTACATTACCAACAACACGTGTAAATCAGGAGTGGTGCCAGAGACGGGCGCCAACTGCGATTTTGGCAGAAAGGAAATAAAAGAACCAAAGCAAGGGCAAAATCGTCAGTGCACTGTGCTATGAACAGTGTTTAGGCTTTTTTCTCTTTTAGTATATATATAATTTGCTTGTCTAGGAACTTTGGAGCCAGAGCAGTACGAAGGTCATTGGGTTTTCAATCATAATTTGCTCACAAGGTTTTAGTCGGGCAGATTCGGATGGAAGGTAAAAATCAGAACTGTAGCCTAAGAGGTGGAAAGGAGGATTCAAGAGGTGCCTTGGTTGTTCTTGAAGGCTTGGATCGGTGTGGGAAGACGACACAGTCTGCTAGACTAGTCACAAACTTGGAGAGGTTAGGATATTCAGCTGAGTTGTGGCGGTTTCCTGACAGAACTACTAGTGTTGGGAAAATAATATCTTCATATCTTTCCAACGAATCACAACTGGACGATCATACAATCCATCTACTCTTTAGTGCCAATCGTTGGGAGAAGAGGTTAGTTGTGTTGTTCTTTTTGTTGTGGGGTTTTGTATATTCACGAGAGAAAGAGAGAATGCACTTCTTCTGATTGTTGGTTTAGTTTTAACTGATGTCAGGGCAATACGTGATAGTTTTCAGCTTCTGTTGCGTTGAGAAACCAATGTAATATACTGATGGATAAAATATGTAATGAAATCTAAAGTAGATATGTAAGCAGCAAAAGCTACTTCCTTTGTATGGCTAATGGCGAGGAAATAAGTGGTTCAGTTTTTGTTTCTATAATGTCTCTGCAGATCGTTGATGGAAAGCAAATTGAAAAGTGGAACCACTCTTGTTGTTGACCGTTATTCTTATTCAGGGGTGGCTTTTTCGTCTGCCAAAGGACTTGATATCGAATGGTGTAAGGTGGGGAAGTGCTCTTTATTTTTGTTTTTACCCTATAGAGCTTTATATTCTCTATGATGATATTTTAAAAATTGCGGTGTTCTTTTGCAGGCTCCGGAGATTGGGCTATTGGCTCCAGATCTTGTAGTGTACCTTGACATACCCCCTGAAGTATGTAGCCATTCTAGTGTTTACAGTGAATTTTAGTGAAGAAAAACGCCCATATTCTGTAATTCTGGATCTTGCTGCGTTAGTTCAGTTAATTCCTACATGATTATATATCTAATTTTGAACATGGTTACGGTGATTTCTCGTTACCTATATGATCTGACATATCTTCCGAGATACACAAACAGCCCCTCATAAGAAGTTTAGCGGATAGGCGTTGATTTTGCACAGTCAATAGGTTCTCAAATAGAGGAACAATATAACATATTCCTGATATCTTAAGGTTCTTATCTATGCTGATAATGATTGTTGATAAAATGAGAGCTGTTACATTTATCCTGTTGTGAAGTTGGCACATGGTCCTCAGTTTTTAAATAATATTAGTTCTTGTAAATGATTAACCTGGACGGTGGATTCTGCAAATTAGATGGACGTTGTAACTTTTTTCCCATTTTTTGATGCGAAGTATGAATCTATATATTGTCAGAAAGCTGCGGAAAGAGGAGGCTATGGAGGTGAGAGATACGAGCAGCTTGAGTTTCAGAAGAAGGTTGGTCACAACTATCAGGTCCTCTGCAGTCCCACTTGGAAGGTAGTTTGTTGATTCATTCTTGAAGTTCAATACAGAACCTGGATATTTGCTTCCGGTTGTCGGTTGTGATGCTATCTTGAGCATGTCATCCTGAATGATTGTACACAAAGAGCATAGCTTGACTGTCATTATCTGACGATTGTTTACACATTTTAACTTGGAGCGATGCTGCAAGTTGGTAATTTTCGTATATTGTGGAGACTCATTGCAGTAGCGGTTCAAAAACAACTAAGCCTGCAACACTGCTAGATTGTTTGGTTCGCAACTGTTATTCTTGAAGTATACAATTCCTAGGTAAGTTGATTTACTCGGATATTATGCAGAGGTTAAAATTTTGTTTTGGCTTGATGCAGATCATAGATGCCTGTTCATCCATGGAGGACGTCGAGGAACAGTTGCAAGAGATGGTACTTGATTGTGTAAAAACATGCCGAGAAGGGAAACCCCTCTCATGTCTCTGGTCTGGTTAAATTTTCTCTTCTCCGGAAGGGGCGAAGCGCTGGTATCTTTGGAAGGTCGAATGCAGATTCCGGGCACAATGAGCAGTGAACAAGCTTGCCCTGCTATCTGTACGAGGATTTCATGTCGGATCATAGTACTACATTACTCGTGTTTCAAAAGTAGATTCGGTGTTTCGTACTCCTTTAACAGCGAAAAGGTCGGAAAAGTATCATCGGTTTCACGGACGCTGTCCGATTGTGGTACTGTGACTATTAACGTATCATTACTATTTGTTGACTGAAATAGACGAGATTCCGAACTTTTTTGAATGAATTTGATTGTAACCTCGGCATTTCAGCCTGACTATATGATATGCATGACAATTGACAGGATATTCTTAGGGTTAGGGATCCGAGGCACACTTTTGACACACATTTTGAAACATGTTTTTTGTGGGACCATTCCATAATATAAAATAAATGATTCAACTGTGATTGTTTATGTTTTACCTTAAAGACCATGTTTACCAATAATACCCAGATATGAAACTATATAACCATTGGATTAAATTTAGCATTTACTTTACTGAACCGTAATCGTCAATTTTCTTCGCTACAAATGAACGCCTTAATGATTCTGGATTTGTTGAATTTTTTGCAATGATGATCTATGAATGATAGACTAAAATATAGATGTTTCGGACCGTTGAAATACATTACGAAATGAGCCATACAAAATGAGTGTCAAAGTGTATGTCAAAAGCGAGTGTACTAATATCCTAACATATATATATTAGGCCACAAGCTATATGAATAATCAATAGTAAAATGCTAGGGATATCAAATTTTTAGATCATTTTTTGTAAATTACATGATATGGTGATTGATAGTTAGACTTCCTTTTTAATAATTAAAAAAAAAGTCCAATCACATCAACCAGCACATTATATGATTTACAAAAAAATGATCATGATAAAGTGTAATTTATGCTTGCCTTGATTTTTCATTGGAAAGAAAAATGAAATCCTAGTTCAATTGAAGGTGTTGGTTTCTCATAAACTAAGTGTCTTATTTTTTAGGGAGTTTTAACGAAAAGCCCACGGTACTGTTCACTTTAACGAAAAACCACATTTTTACACTAAAAAGTCAAACCTGGTACTATTCATTTTATACTTTATTTTGTCCTTATCATTAAAACTCAAAGTTTTCAAACTATTTTCATTAGTTTTCCTTATTTTTTAAAGCTATCAAACATGAGAAAGCAAGTAATTTTCATTTTACGTGCAGTTGCTCTAAAGCCTATATGTTAGATTTCGTGAATTATGTTATTATAAGGAAAAATGTTAGGGAAATTATATTCTTGTAATATGTCGGTCTACTATTAGCAAACATAAAAGTAGCGAAGATGATAATGTTTCATTGGATTTGTGGGGACACAAGAAATGACAAGATTAAAAACGAGGATATCCGAGATAAAGTAGGAGTAGCCGTAATTGAAGATAAGACGAGAGAAAACCAATTAAGGTGGTTTGAACATGTGAACCGAAGAGTCACAGATACTCCAGTTAGAATATGTGATTATGAGACAAAGACTTATGGCAAAAATGATAGATGGAGACTTAGGAAGACTTCGAAAGAGATTCTAAGAAAAGATTTGGAGTACTTGAAGTTAACAAAAGACTTGGCGCAAAACTGAGCGCAGTGAAGTTCTAGAATTCATACAGTGTACCCCACTTAATGGGATAAAAATTTGTTATTGTCGATATACATACTATCTAATGTATTAAATGATGTGTACATGTCATATTTTTAACATCCATGTAGTACAAAAATGTCGTTTTCCAAACATCAATCTATCACAAAATGTTTTGGAGATATCCGTCATCTAATTTATAGGTTAATTAGATTATTTTGTTATTATAAAATGTTTTGGAGGCATCTGTATAGACTTTTTAGATATATGCCAACTGCAAAGGTTGATAGGGCATCTGTATATTTTACAATTACCAGTGCTTAGGTGGCCTCACTTAATCGACTCACGTACGTCTTCAGTTTAAACCTAATCAAAGTGTACGAAATGTTAATACTACTAATTAAGAATTTGGAATTTTTGTACCAAATGCATGCCTCGTCCAATCAAAACACTGAGTCCACCTCTCGCTTTCTCATGTTTTATGTGTATTGTTAATGGTTGGAATACATCCCTCCCTCAAAGAAGAAATCAGTACTTAATTGAGCAAGTTTCACCAATCAACATTGGGTGAATACTGATTAATTAATTATTAAACATGGAAGTCAAACTTGTGAGCAACTGGACTTTCATGGATAATCCAGAAGACTTAAAAGTATATTGACGTTTATTTTGAAGGAACCAAATAGAGATTAGATATGAAAAGAATTAACTTATCGCTTCTTATCCATTTCAAAGAATTGGAATAGATAAGTTTCGTTAATGAGTAATCTATATTATCTTCAAGTTAGACACAATTTTATCTCTTTCTTCCACATACTGTGAATATAATGGATTATCTATTCCAATCCAGTCCTAAGACAAAAGAAACATTGAGCTAATTAAGTGGATACAGAGAAATAGTTGTCGATGTTTGATGAAAGAGTGACCGTCAGATAAAGAACCATGCAAAAGGAGAGTTGGAATCAGGCAATATCCTTGAATGAGAAAGAGTTTCAAGAGAACGATCGAGATACTGATTACAGTGCATGCAGCCTTGATGGTCAGTTATGGAGGATGATATGTTTGAAGGAATGAAGAAAATATTGAGAAGATGATCATCACTAAAAATATCAAGCAAGAAAGAATAAAGGAAAAGAAATGAGGAAGGAAGACGGGTTATTGCCTTTGTTACATTGAGGTATTTAGCACATTTTTTTTGTAACCATTTCATTTGTAATTAGTTTTTAGTTTTTTTATCTTTATGCATCTGTTATGGGGAAAGCACATAAGAGAAGGAATGATGAATAAGAGTGGAGAAAGGACGGTTTGATAGATGTAGAAGAAATGTATAAGGTAACATACACAAATTGAAAACTAAAACCAAAATCTATTTTGAGTTGTGCTTTCGCTTTCGAGATTTTGTGTTCATCTTATTCATCCTCTCCCTCCCACCACGCTTCTTCATTCATCCATTATCTCCTATACTTTATATCTCAAGCATGAAAAGTGAAAACTAAAATTAAAAGACGAAATGGTTATCAAATTGGCACTTACATTTTAATCTCTGGATAAATAAGATTTATTTTTCATTAAACCAACTGTTGGATTGAATTTTGATTTTATTCCTTTGATTAATTACATTAGTTTGAATACACACACACACACACAGACAGCTAAGAGTAACACGATTAAACACTATGAGCATGTAATTACCTACGAGAGATTTCGTACCCATTCAAAATAAAGTACCTAATTAGGATGACTAAAATGAAAATCCAATTAACACCCAACTTTAATTAAGTATCTGATTTTCTATTAAGCAGAAGTTACGGGAATTTTATGTTTTGCTAGTTTTGTTAGGGTTTATTAGCTTGGAATGCATATTGCAATTAATTTAGACTGTAAATTCCTGTTTTATTTATCCAGCTAAGCAGATTGTATTATCCCTTCTTTTCAAGTCATTGCAGTGTATTTTATAATTTTCTTTCTTTTAATTACTGCATGCTGATGATGAAAATACGTACGTAATTATCCACCAAAAATGGAAAAAATTTAAGAAAAGAAACGAAACAATTCAGAGACAGATCGAAAAGCAATATATATAATTATTGGACATCGATTAATCTCTGATGATAACATGTGCATTACTGCATTAGAAAAGCATAAACATACCAGCAGTTTTTTACATAGCTTGCTTGCTCATACATTATATATATACGTACTCAAACCTTTAAGGATTTCATCAGCAGCTACTTTAATTTGCTGCTAAATCAAGAGTATACGTACAGTAGAAGTGGAGTACGTACTGCTTCGTATCCCTTCTTTTCAACTCAATGCGTTTCTTGGCATTGAAATAATTCAACATCTAATACGTACGTACTGCTTCGTGCTTACCAGTATGTACACTTTCAAGACGCTACTGTTCAATTATTCTTCAGATCCACAGAAGCTAGCCAGCCTCCTCGGGAAAGATCAAACCCTGTTACAATAATTCTAGCAACAAAAATTAAACATTAATTATTATATGCATAAAACAATAATTAACAAGAAATGAAAACAGGGTATATATATGCATAAAACAATAATTAACAAGAAATAAACATTAATTACTATCCTCACACTCTTTTTTATTTCTCACACATATTTCTAATTTTTAACCGTCGAATATGATGAATTGAAAAAAAAAATGACAGAAATTAACAAGAATTTGTAACACGTAAAAAAATATCTTGGATATCACACTTCAAAAGTTAAAAGAATTACACAGAAGATATGAGCTTCTTCTGTAGTCCACTCTATATATCTTAAACAATGTCCCGGGGCAGAGATCCAAAATTCCAAATATAGCACTAAGCAAGCTACAGTTTAAGCAGATATCTCTACTTTTGGAACTTTTTTAACTGTATGATAGAGATCACATCAAGGATACAGTACACGTTAAAATATAATAATATTATTATATATTCCAGCTGGTTCCACGAATCCAAACATTTCTGACTTTTCTTCTGAACCAATTAATTCGCTGAACATGTCATGCATGCAATATAAATTGAATGAAAAGACTGATGTTATCAGATAATACTACAACCAGCGGGAGAAGAGAAATTCAATGAGCTATAATGCAAGGTAGTTGTTTTCTTGGCTGTCATGATGTAGGGTGAAGGAATGTAAGTCTACATGGATAGGTGATCAAGTAAGCTAAGTTCTTAGTTATATAATATTTTGATTTATATTTTTATTTAGCGATAATCAAACTTAAAATTTTTCATTTACAAATAAAGAATAATATTATTAAAACTTAATACTATGCGGCAATTTAAGTACTTATCAGACCAAAGGAATAGTAACTTAGTTACTTAGTTTAAGAATTACAACGCAGGTTCTTCATTTTTCATCAGCAAATGAATGAGGATTCGATCTTGAAAATCTTTTAACAATGGGGGAAATTCTATTTATAACACACCCCCAAGGAAAAAAGAGAAAAAAAATAGTAGAATTCTACTAGGAACAATCAATATCCACACGGAGTAAATGACAATATACTAGTTATCTATCTGATACCGAGCAATTGTTCCAATCATCTCCTCTATTCTATGTAAAAAAATAACTTACAAGAAATAAGATCACTAAACTTACAAGGCATTAATTAATTATGTGACACCAAGTAAAAAAGTTAAAGCATATAAAAATGTGTAATATGTGTGGGACAATGCCACCATTTTTGTGTTATCGGCTCATGTAAGTCTCTCTCTTATTTCTCTTATTAATTATGTGCATATGTGTGTATAAATATATATGTGTGTGTGTGTGTGTGTCTATATATATATATATAAGAACTATTTTTTCAAGTATTGATAAATAACATCATTCAGATAACCCATTGTTGATTGACCACTGGAATCTAATTAGGGTTCAAAAGTTCAATTTAGTAATTGACTTTCCCATGATTAGAGATGATATTTTCAGATAGATAAAAAAAAAAAAAATATATATATATATATATATATATATATATATATATATATATATACACAATTTGTTAATCGTTTCGTTTTGCCTATTAATTAGTATAAACATCATGTTTCTGGCAAAGACGTGCACCAAAAGCATGATGCCATGTAAGCCAACCAGCCAGATGGTTATATATAGAAGGATCAAATTAATTTAAGGGAAAGTTGATATAACTCCTATTTTTGTAGCAAATAGTAGGAATAATCCAGTTTATTAAAATAAGTCCAATTCGTTAAATTTAATTATTTTATTATCAATAATTATCTCTTAAAAGAAAAAACTTATTGTAAAAATCAAATTTCTTTCTAATTATCTCTTTGATTATTTCTTTTCTTGTTATTTCTTGTTATTCCTCCTGCTTTAACCCATTTATAGATTTTTTTTTAATTTTTATAATCAACCTATATCACAAATTAATTGTATTTATCTACCTATATGACAAATTATTTTTCATAGTCAACCTGTCACAGATTAATGTGTCTTGCTTATAAGTATATTATGTTTTTTCTCTACCTTTTAGTTAGGTTTCATATCTCACTTATAGGTATAATATACATTCATATATTTGCTACTTGAGTTAGGGGTAAAATGTTTTGCAGATGGATTTATGTTAGTATATTATTATTTTTTTGTTTATAAGATATTAATTAAATATTTTGGAGTTGAAAAATGTATAATATTAAAAGATTTTAATTGATTTTTAATATTTTTAGAAAATATAAAAAGAGTATAAAAGAAATAAAAACATATAATTAGATAATTGGAGTCACTCCTAAAAACACTTTATGTTTTTAGACCTGAATCTAAAAGCCCCTTAATTTAAAGGGTTAGATGTAGATGAGATGACTGTGGCTAAAGTTGGCATTACTGGCAGGATAGAAAGAATAGGGCAGTCTCTCTTTATCTTACCTGGCAAGAAGATCAGAAAAAAAAGGGGATTAGTCTTGGCTCAAGCTTAATTAATACAATAAATATATCAGAGATATGGTCATAAATTAACCTGGTCTCTTTTTAAATTATCCTGGTGTTTAAACATTGGTTCTTGTTAATTTGAATAATTACTTAATTAGTTACTCGATGGCCACGACTCTACCAATGAATTAAAAAGCAAAAAACTAAAACGAAATGGTCATAACTTTGTCCCACCTACACCACAAATAAAGTTTTGCCAGATATAGCTTGCTCTACCACTTGTTTAGGAGTACTTCTTAATCCGTGTTTATCTTAATTTGCGCACTTAAATTAAGTTTAATTGGCGAAGTTAATGACCAAACCAACTCAAATGTTTATAATATATATGAATGCAAATTATATACCTGAGATCGTAGGCTTCCATTCCATAATCTACTGATAATCGTATCCATAAATACGATTACAAACGACTTCAAATCAACGGCCCAGAGTGAGAGCAGCGTTAACGTCGAGCCTCCATGCAAATCCTCCATCGTCCATTCTCCACAAATCACAAGGCACAGTTCGAGAGCACCTCTCCTTACCCACCGTGTACTGCAGCTTTACTTGGCATGTTATTAACGCTGAAGCATCCGCGTACGGCAGTTTCTCCTTCACCACCAACCACACCGCTATCTCCGCCCCGCGCTTCTGCTGGCTCACCATCCTCTTAAACGCCCCGTTCAACCACTGCACCCTGTTCTGACCGTCCGATATAAAACCCGGACACGTGTCCCCCTCCAGATCACTCTTCATCCTCTCGGCGTCCCTACTCCTAAAACTTCCAAACGTACCTTGCACATTCATGCATGTGCCTGTCACGCACTCCACAGTCACCCAAGACTCCACCGCCACCATCTGCCGCATCCCCTCCGTCGGATCTGATCCTCCTCCACCACCCATGTAATTCCTCAACCACATGGGAATTCCTAGGCCTAAGCCCTCATCTTCTTTACCAGTAGGATTACTATTTTTGTTATTTCTATGGTTATTATTGTCCGTCACCGTAGGATCTAACGGACGCCAAGATTCACCGTTCGATGAGCCGTTGTTATCGTTTTTCTCCGGCAAGAGCTGCAGAGTCGTCACCACGCGCTGAGGATCCTTATTCTTCGCCCTACATACATTATTCTTGGAAACCCTAACGTACTTTCTCTTTCTTCTTGCACTCGTCAAAATACTCGCAACCGAGTTTTCGTTATTACCAACCTCTCCGGCTCTGTTCGTCACCGGTTTCGGTGCAATCGGCCGAAATCTAAGCATGTTCGGGTTCACGATTGCAGGCGCATCCTGCCCCCCACCATCTCTTCTTAGCATCCGCCGCCGTTCTCCGCCCTCCATATCAACAACCTTTACACAATCTCTCTCTCTCTCTCTCTACTTTCTCTCTCTCGTCGGATTGGAAGCTAAGAATAGCGATGATTATATTAATAGGCGGCAGGCAGAAGTAGTAACAACGACACGCGAGAGGAAGCGCGTGTAAAGACTTGTACCACCAACGCCCCTTCCCCACCATGGGCTAGGGTTACAGCTCCGAAACAACGACGGGATCCAAGTGGTTAAATCCTTTTCACCCCTAGTGGGGCCCACTAGAACTCATGTCCCTCCCTCCCATCCAATGAGAGAGCAGTATGTGTCAGCCACTTTCAAAAGCAGACGTCGACGTGGGGCTGCCTCGAGCATAGCGTACTGCTGTTGCCCTTTGGGGAGGTTCGAGGTATCAAATACGTGGTCGTCTTCCATTCGCGAAGAACATCAAAATTCGGTTTGCGAAAGAGTAACATTAAAAGCTTTCACGCGAGACACACCGCGTGACGCGCAATCTCGCGTGGACGGGCTCTCACTCACGACAACAATTAGAAGGGTAGGTGAACGACGTGGAGTTTGTGCGAGTGAAAGAGATCAAATTGGTGCTTTTACGATATGGACGCGTGGTTGGTCGGATGGACAAGTGAATCTTTGGGCAAGATTTTTTAGGTTTATTTTGGTTTTAATTTCCGTTTATGGAATAGAACATTTTCTATTATTGGATACCTGTGAATTGTGATCGAGCGCTGCCACGTGATACCTGTGATGGACTCCTGCCACGTGTTCTTAAAATATCTGTTGTAAATCCTTAGCTTTCTATTTGTCAAAGTTGTAAATTCATAGCTAGATCTACTATTTGTGAGAGTATTATTTTTAAAGAAAAATTAATGAAAAATATTTTAAAATTTTATATTCTAATTAAAAGTTATCTAATAATTTTATGAGAGATTATACTCACACCTTAAATTACTTTTTTCATATTCTTTTAATTTTTTAATATTTTTCTATCAAGTATTAGTGGTGTTTAGAAAATATTAAAAAATAAAAAATATGTGGAAAAAGTTATTTGGGGTGTGAATATAATCTCTCTAATTTTATTTAATAATTAAAATAAAAAAACATAAAATATAAATATGTGTGCCCAGCATGTGTTAAATTTTATAAATAGTATAATACCGTTAAGTTTTATAAATAATGTAGTAGCGTTAAGTTTCATAAATAATATAATAAATATCATAAATAGTGTAGTAAATTTCATAAATAATGTAGTAAATTTCATAAAATACAGTTAAATTTTATAAATAGCGTAGTAAGTTTTATAAATAGTACGTGTGAGGACCAGTAGTAGAACGTCGGGGAAACATCCACTCGAATCCTCCGACAGTGGGCATCTGGCCTGATTAGGACCAGACTATCCACCCCACAACAGCAGCTAGCTAGGTCACCACCAAGTCCCTCATTAGAATCCAACATCCTCTTCCTCCAGTCTCTCTCACTATCATTATACTGCAAAATTCCAGCCAAACCATCATCCTCCTTTGATGGTTGAATCCATATGAAATCCTGGGAGGGAGGGAGGGAGGGTGTGTGGGAGGGTGTGTGGGAGGGAGCGAGGGAGGGAGGGAGAGAGAGTATAAAATCCTGGGAGACAGAGAGAGAGAGAGAGAGAGGAGACTTGGTCGGCGTCTATGAATATACGGAGTTGTCGTCGGCGAGGTGGGCTGGTCGTGGTTTTGGGTGATTCGGTGACTATCGGTAGAACTGAAGAATTTGGCGTTTACTCTAAGTTGGTATTTCTGGGTTTTTTGTTTTAATTTCCAATACAAAATAATAATGTTAACAGTGTTAACCTTTTATTAAGTTAGAAGACAAGTGTCAAGCTATTAGATAAGAGACACTAAAAAGATAAAATTTAGAGACAACGGATTTTAGGAGTGATATTCACACACTTATTTTTACATCTCACACATTTCTTGTTAATTTCTATCATTTAATATTTTTGAATTCATCTGATCTAACGAACTAAAATTAAAAATGTGTCGGAAGTAAAAAGTGATATTCTTCTATCGCTTGGATTGGTGGACATTCGTGATACAGGTGGAAACGATTTGCATCTAGGCCCCAAGTTTTCTAATTTTTTATTTTTTGAGTCGCAGGTCGGGCTACTCTCGTTCTTCCAGTAGATGACCCTGAGCAAGAGGAGGCAGAGCACGACACCACCAGCAAATTCAGTTTGAGGAGGTTGTGGGTGAAGGCGACGAGGCCCTTGCGGAGGCCATCGAGGCTGGGGATCGTAAGGATGGGCACTATGACGACATGACGACTCTGCGGCGGTGGGGCAGCCAAGGACAACTCACTCCAACGTCATCAAATATCTGTGCTGATTGTTTTTCTGGTTCTTGCTTTTATTGTTTTTTGTTTGGAAAATTTCAGAAGTATGCTTTGCTTTGTGATTAACTTCTATCGATTTTAATTTGCATTTTTGAAGGGAGAACGATGAACTTGGTTTTATTATTTTAGTTTCAATTGTAGGTCTAATTTTTTATTTCATTATTTTGAATAAATTACAAAAGTTAATCAATTATAAATGAGTGGGAGAACACATGATAGCCTAAAAAGTGTGTGATTAAGATACATTACAGTTAATGTGGACGAGCTAAAATGCTCCTATTATTTTTTAATCTAAGGTTCAGGGTAAGTTTACCACATTACTGCATATCCATTGAACGATACTATATCCTAATGCTTTATTTTTTTATTGTTTACATAGAATGACAAGTTTCCAAGGACAGAATATTGTATATATTTATCTGTAATTTATTTACTAAGTTTGGAGATGCCTATGTTTGGTATTCAGGGCGTATAGCATTACTTTATAAGCTGTTGGACCATCTAAAAGTTGGGCATATATACCTAAACCCCGGCCTTGGAGGGATGCCCTAGAGACCTCATTTTCCATTTTATTGAAACAGTTATATTGCCAGTGATGTTCAGTTAAGCAACATAATACATTATCTATATTATTGAACTCGTTCTTCGATATAGTTGAATATAAAATCCATTACTTAAGTTTTTTATAATAGTTCAGATGAGTTTAATTTTGCTATACAAGAATTCGACACCTTGAATTTAATTTTCAATAACACTATTCATGATGTGAGGTTGGTAGAGGTTAGGGCTAGATTGGGGTTAGGCGTAAGAAGGTTTTGTAAAGCAGGAAAGTGTTTAGTAAACTATAATGTCGTGAGTACTTTTAACAAAAAATAAAATGATGGGGGTAGAATAGTGATTACGAAAGTTTCATTAATTGGTATTATTTACTTGCCTCAAAAAAAAAATTGCTTTTTAAAGAAGAATATGTAGTGCTGTTATGGACCCATGATTTTGAAAGAAAAAAAACATTTTTTTTTCATTTACCAAACACAATTAAGACAACTTTTTAAGAAACTGCTTTTAAAAAAATTTAGGCAACTTCAAACTAACCCAATTTTAACTATTGGGGCACCCATCTATTTTTTCCCTATTTTATAATTATTTATTCCCTTTTCTCTCTTACATGGTTTACCAATTATTTAATAGAAATCAAACTCATAATTTTAATATATTGAAGGCTAAATAGCTAAAATGGTCCATGAGATTTGCATAATTCATCACTTTGGTTTCTAACATTTCAAATCGATAAAAGTGTTTTATGAGATTGTCCACCATCCATCATTTTGGTCATTATGTTAAAAAATCCGTTAAGTGTCCCAGAGCTATTGCCCGGAAGTTTGGACAATTTTCAAAGCTTTGTAACTCAATCATTTCTTAACCAAACTCGATCCATAATGTATCAAAATAAAGATAGGAAAGTGTAGAATAAGATTATACCTATTTGGAACCCTAATGACTGTCGAAGATTTTCGGAAAATAACCTTAAAGTTAACTGGTCCGAAGGAAAACTCGCCGGAAATTGGGTAAACTTTAAATGATTATAATTTATTCAATACTCAATGAAATCAAGTGATTCAAAAACAAAAATCATACTTTTCGACGCGAATAAGAGAATGATACCTTTTTCGACGGCTAACTCACCATGGTTTGGCCAGAAAATGGCTGTCTTGATCTCGAATTAGCTACTTTCGAGGCGTTTTCCGACCAAATTAGTGGTTTAGCAGCCTACAAAGGTACCATTCTCTTAGTCTCGTCGAGAAGTATGATTTTCATTTTTGAATCACTTGATTTCGTTAAGTATTAAAGAAATTATGAACGTTTAAAGTTTACCCAGTTTCCGACGAGTTTTCTAGTTTTCCACAGACCAGTCAACTTTGAGGTTATTTTTCGGCCATCTCCGTCAGCCATTGGGATTCTAAATAGGTATAATCTTATTCTATACTTTCCTATCTTCATTTTGATATATTATGGATCGAATTTGGTTAATAAACGATTGAGTTATGAAGCTTTGAAAATTGTCCAAACTTCCTGCCAAGAGCTCCGAGACACTTAACAGAGTTTTAACAAAATGATCAAAATGATGGATGATGGACAATATCAAATACCACTTTTATCGATTTGAAATGTTAAGAATCAAAGTAATGAGTTATACAAATCTCAGAGATCATTTTGACTATTTACCCTATATTGAAACAAAAATTTGAAATATATCAACCACGCTGGACTCAAAATATTCGACGAATTATAAGAATTTGATTCTTATATAAAAAAAATACTACTTAATTATACGTGGGGTTCTTGAAAACATCTCACAACAGGAGAACGTATGACACACAGCAGCCAACAAAAGATAATATTTCCATCAGCTCCTTTAATTATATATATCTTTATCTATATCTATATCAACATAGATGCTAGGTGTGGCTCAATGAGAGCAACCACGTGTTGCTTTGTTTGAACTTCTCTTCCTCTCCTCCTTTCCCTTTCCACGGTTTTAGATCGAAACAAAAGCTTTTACCTACTACCTGTAAGCTTTCATCACATATTCAGTATTTATTTGACGGATAATGTCTCCGAGACTACATTTTGATTGTGATACAAAATGTTAACCGCCGAGAGTCCCAAAAGAAAAGTAAACCAAAGCTTTTACCCCTGTACTTATATGTCTATAATTCTATGTTTTGGTAAGTTCGCCTAAGCTTCCGTCCGTCGTCCGACTAGCGTCTAACATATTTCAGAACCTTAATGATTTTACACTTACTAGTAAAAGTGACACATATAAAGACGTTATCATCAGAGATTGAGCTTTGTTCCCTGTGCGAGTTAGTCTATCGTTTAGTAGTTTGCTTTATTCAAAGGTTTATATTAAAAACCAGAATTAATAAACATATACCTGATTTTTATTAGCACCTTCTGCTCCCTCAAGCTTTGCTTCTCCTAGCTTAAAGACCCAAACTAAGCGCCGCCGTGATATCCAGCCTCCAAGCCAACCCACACTCCATCCTCCACACATCGCACGGCACCGTCTTCGAGCACTTCTCCTTCTGCAACGTGGAGTACTGGAGCCTCACCCGGCAACTGAACATCGGGTGAGCATACGGCAGGCTCTCCTTCGTATCCAGCCACACCACAACCTCCGCCGGCGGCAACTGCCCCTCTACATAGCTCACCATCCTCTTGTACGCCTCGTTCACCCACTGCACTTTGTTAGAACCGTCCGATATAAACCCCGGACACGTGTCTTTATCCAAACTCTTCATTTTCTCCATGTCCGTATACCCTAACCCTCGTACTTCCATGCACGTGTCTGTCACGCTTTCCACCGTCACCCACGACTCCACCGTCGTCACACGAGGCACCACCGCCGCACGATCTATCCTGGACCGGCTGTCCTCCTTCCAGACGGACCTGTTCATCTTATGGTTTAGGTTCTTCCACGTAGGAATCTCCCTGTTACCCCAAGATCCACTACCTGAAAAACCTAGAGAGTCTGTTTTTTCCGGCATCAGTGGAAGAGTGACGACATCCGGCGGATTATCATCTGTGGAAGATCTACTGTTGATTAATTTTCTTGCGCTGTTATTATTCTTAGGGTCCTTCGCGACCCTAATGTACTTCCTCTTTACTCTCTTGCTTGCAGAAAGGACGGTTTTACCATCCGCCGAAGTCGGACCGGAGGAAGAGCCGCCAGCCGCCGGTTTCGGAGCGATCGGCCGGAATCTGAGCATTATCTGGTTGATTATCGTCTTATCCGGAGCACCAGTCTCACCGCCTGCCACGCGCCATCCATCTCCCGCGTCCATCCACTCTCCTCGTACGATGTTCCCCTCCTCTCTCCCTCGGATGCCTGATCTCTGTCTGTCTGTCTCTCTTTCCTTTCTCTCTCTATCTCTCTCTCTCTCTCTCGTCTCCGGAGGACAGAAGCGATAATCATAGCAGGAGCGTGGTGGCTGGGTGAGGAACCACCACGTGTCTAGGGCACCACTCCAGCAGTTGTGACTACCCATTGGCTGATTCGTTTGCCTGCAGGGCCCGCCTAACGTTTGGCGTATCTAGGAAGAATATATATATATATAACACATAAGACGTATATATATATATATTACACGAGTAATGCTAATGAAATTAAATTTGAAGATTAAATTTTAAAAATTAAAAGACATATATGTTGATGATTGGTTTATAATTTAAGCATTGAAAGACGTGTTCATTTTTATTAGTGATATATCATTTAGTTTACAATTTTAATCTCTAAATTTTAGTCCCTAACCTTTAGCATTACTCATATTATTTTATGTGTCATGATAAACGTTGACTGGGTAATTGGACCAATTGGCATGTCTTATGTATATAAGCTATACTAAAAACAAATACACAATGTTACCAACACATTTATTTTTATTCCCATATAACCTTTTTAATTTTTTACAGTGGGATCTAATAAATTAAAAAAAAATTAATATAAATAAAGTTGGAGTTTCACCGTGAAATTAAGTGACAAATTAAGAGTAGTCTAATTTTTTGTAAGTTCTCGCATGTTTGGTCATACGTGGAGAATTTTAAAGTTTAACATGTGGACAACATAAAAAGTGTGGCGTAAAGCACGTGTGACAGTTAGGCTTCACATATGAGCAAAATTTCTCTAATACCAAGAAGAAAATAGGGGGTTTCACTATAAAACTAATTGATAATTTGAGGAGTACCAAACTTCTCATAAGTCCTTGCATAATTTGGTTATTCATCAATGTATGACAGTATTTTGACGTAAACGTGTTTCATATAAGTTGTTCTCGTATATTAAAAGCGTAATCGAGTTCCATGTTCTGGAGTTGGACCCACATGTTGGCCAACCAGGCATCTGAGGGTGGGAAGCACTCTCACAAAAAGGAGGGACACGTGGAGTTAGGTTAGGGGGAAAGTATCATGTTTTCCAACCGAAGTGGAAATTGAAGTTTCCTACTTTGTGATTGAGAACGTTCGAGAATGTCCACACGTGTACCAAAGAGATTAGCCAAAACAAGTAATATGGCCTTTCAGCACAGTTGAGGAATGTGGGTGACACGGTGGCCCGGAAGTGCGTGAGGTTTGCGGACCAAGGCGTTGGTTTGACAGTACGACTTGATTGGTGGGGTGGTCGGACTGGACCACCTGGCTTTTCCTGCAATTCATGAGCGTATCGACGCGTGGATGGTTTCAAGAGATGACAGTCAGACAAACGCATCACCTTTTGTAAGCCAATGACCTTATATATATATATATATATATAATATATATATATATATATATATATATATATTTATGAACGGTTATTGATACTCTAAAAATCTTATTTTAAATATATAAAGTTTGAAGTGTAGAATGAGAATTTTGAAGTGTCAATAACAATTTTTTTTTGAACTTGGAAGTACTTAAGAAATGGGAGATCTTAAGATGTCGGCTATTATATAATTTTAGATGTTTATTATGCGACTGTAATGAGATCGGGTGTAGTCGAAATATCCAGAATTTCATATTTTTGTAAGAGTTTAATAGGTGTTTTACGAATGACGTAATTGAAGTATTCTCTACCCAAATATTTGTGGACCGTTCATGGCAGAGTTGGTTATTGGTTGCCTTGACTCTAACAACTTCAAAAACTCAGTGTATGATTGTTGGTGTATTGTATTTGACTCCTATAAACAGTTAGGGCAAACTAAATTACAATCTCCTCCAACTTACTTGTTCCATTTTCTCCTATCATCTTTGTTTTCCTATTCCCTCTTCTTGTATGCGACTTTATTGTGTGCATTATTTGCTCAATTAAATACTTTAGTTGATAAGCCTTAGTAGCCTTCAACATTGCTCCACAATATCCTACAACTACCCTCAGCAAGCCTCCATAGATAATTGTAATTATCGACACATGTTGGCTTAAGTTTTCAGCATATGTAGGGCCAAATTAGCAGATGCCTACTAAATGTTTGACAAAATGGTCTAATAACGGTTTTTTGATTTATATCATGACCTATTATTAAAGAATTACGACTCCACCCCGAGTGGTGTACATATTTCATCGCTCAAAAAAAATTTAGAAAGTAATTTTGGACACCGATTTTCTCCTCATGCAAAACCTTGGTATCTTTGACCTTTATGTTGAAGAAAGCAAAGAAGAACAAAGGAATAGGAACTGAATGTGTACCAAATGTAGACAGACATGTGCATAACTTAGGGACCACTATTTTACTTGTACGAATAAAACGGAGGTGTAAGCACTTGAGATTCATAATTTGTAGGGAACAAATGTTGCCACGTGGGTCTATGACAGATAAGGGTTATGAGTCAGCCTCGATTAGTAGGAGGCAGATTCTCTGTCCTTCCATTTTTCGTGTCCTCTTATGCCCTCTTATTTGTATGGTCACGGTTAAAGCATGTCAACATTTTATATTACTATTCATTTTTGTCTTATTATTTCTATAAAAAATATATATATATATAAAATATTAATGTGGTTTAACCGTGATCACATAAAACAGAAGGGCACGGAAAGTCCCGATCAGTAATCTCTTGCCGCTGATTCGCCACCAATCCATCTCACATCTCATCCTCATTCCTCACATCTTCTAGAATTTAATATTGGATTGGGCTTTATGGAGACTACGGGCCTGATATAGTTGGGCTACACTTTAGCTTCTTTCTAAATAGAGAGCCCATTTATGGACATTTCTGATTAGCTAACTAGAACATCAAACAAAGTGTCCGGATCTCTCTCACTCGAACAATCTGGATTTTCTGGTCCTTAGGCACCAAACAGTAAGGTTAGGATTAAGGATGGGCAAATACCCATTGGTTATGGATAACCGCGGTTACCCGTCCATTTAAATTAAACGGTTACGGTTATGGGTAACCGTTTAGATAAATAAACGGTTATGGGTATAACCGTTTACCAGCAAAATTTAAATTGGTGGTTATGGGTATTAACCACGGTTATAAACTGGTAACCGTTTACCCATTTATTTTATATATGTAAAACTAACACAAATCATGTTCTCGATCGAATAATACTTAGCACTCAATAAATTAGCAAGGAATTCATCGGTCATTCTCTCAATAATACTACTACAGGAATGATGATTCTCATCATCAATGAATTGACCAAATTAATTTAAATTCCTTGCGGGTAACCGTGAAATTGACAGAAATGTCTTCTAAACAATTTTTGTAACCCAATAATACTTAGCAAATATTATATTTACCTTCATTGGTAACAGTTAAAAATATCATTCGTAAACTATTATTTCAATTATTGGAATGGTATAAGGACTTAAAAAATTAAAATATGGAAATGTATGATGAATGTACCTATAACGGTGTTTAATTGTCAAACAAAAAATTATGACAATTTTTTTTAAATTTTCAAGTTGTTAAAAAACATGTAGATGAGTGAAAAAAGGGTAATAGTAAAAAAAAAAAGATAAACGGGTTAAAAAAAATAAATGGGTAAACGGGTATTAAACGGTTACGGTTAAATAGGAATGCGGTTATGGGTATGGTTAACCGTTTATAAATGGTTATGGGTATGGATATAACCGTTTAGGCAATTATCCAATGGGTAAACGGTTACGCGGGTATGAGCAGAAACGGTCATAGGTAAATTAACCGCGGTTACCCGCCCGCATAACCATTGCCCATCCCTAGTTAGGATAGGATCCAATTTGGAAACGACAAATCCTTCGACCAAATAATGCATTATCACATAGAGAAAAAACTCACACAAAACAACGGATTATTAAATCCGGACGCTATGTGACGGTGAACCAATTCTATGCAAGTCTTTCGCTCAACTTTTGGTATTATTTGTTACTTGGGCGTTGCACCAAAACAAAAAAATAAAAAAAATTGTCTTCAATCTAGAAAATGGAACAATATCTACTGGTACACATGAAGACTAACTGTAATCCAACGAGTAGAATTCGGCACTTGAAGAAAATTTAATCAAAATTCACATGCCCAAGCAAGGAAAAAAAAAAATTCCTTGTGTATGGAGTAGCTTATTCTCTCTTAAAACGACATTCCTAGGGTCACTCCATCACCAATTTCGGATTCGAGCCAATTTGACATGGAAGAAACGAAAGACTTTGATTACAATGTGAAAAAAAATTATTTCCAAAACAGGTCCTCCCAGAAGCAAAACATTGAAAGAAACCAAAGTAAGGCGGCTTAGTTGACAACGTCGAGAACGAGCTTGCGGGACTTGAGAACTGACCACTTCAAGCGCCGGTAGTATGCAGCTTGAAGTAGCGCCAGAGAGAGAACAAAGATCCATTTGAATCCCATCTGCATTTTCAAGGCTCATCGTGTCAGGATTTAAATAGTTTCAGGCTTTCAGCATTGACAATGAGGGAAATTGCATAATGAATCTTACGAGTTTCCTCTCTTCCATTTCTGGTTCTGCGGCCCATGTCAAGAATGACACAACATCTTTCCCCATCTGCAACATAGCAATATTCGATTAGTTTGAGCAACCATTCAGAACTAAGATTCGCACGTAATATATACAGATACTTTAACCATAAACCAACCTGAGCCTCAGTTGCAGGAGTACCATCTTCGTACTCAACAGCACCATCATTAAGCATTTTAGGCATAGCAATTGCTCCCCCAGGAAAGTACGGATTATAGTGCAGGCCATCTCGGATCTACAAAGACCAGAGAACATTTTGCAGTTGATAAGAATTAGAGGACATCACCTCCATTTCAAAGAACCACAAATTCGCAAACTCCATACACAAACATAATTCTCAGTAGGGTGGAACTAAGCACCAGATTGATGTTCACCGTTCAAATCTAATCTAATCTAATTACAACACTGATTGATGCAAACACCAGACACTCACCGCCAAACAACAAATTAGCAACGACAACAGCACAACACAACAGGGACCAGGGGCCCAACAAACATACGAAATGTTATTTCCATTTTAGTCATAACTCAGAAATAGATGGGTATTAGTTGGCTTCGTAAATAGCCATATATACATTTTGCCATAGTTCTACAAAATCAGGATAGTGCAAATTCATATAAACATGTAAGCCTTCTTTCTTTTTCACGACATCGACAATTTTTTTTTCAGAATAAATTTAAGAATAGAAGTTACCTGAACACCAGCTGGAGGATCACGGTAACCGGTGAGAAGGGCAAATACATAATTCTGACCATTGTGACGAGCCTGCAAGTATATGGGTGAGATATTTCCAGGGGAAATACCAAAATACAAATTAATAAGAATTTATTAGCAGAAGACTGAGAGCACCTTTGTAATAAGACTCAAATCAGGAGGATATGCTCCACCATTAGCAAACCTAGCTGCCTGCTCATTTGCATATGGCTGAGGGAATCGATCACTAAGTTTACCAGGCCGAGTAAACAACTCACCCTCGTCGTTCGGCCCATCTGTTACCTCAATCTCAGCTGCCATAGCCTTTGTCTCCTCTTCGGTATAAGCAACACCCACCAAATCACGGTAGGATATTAAAGACATGGAATGGCAGGATGCACAGACTTGTGTGTAAACCTGATGACCACGACGAATCCTGCAAGTAGAAAAAATTGAACTTCAACCATCAACGACCCACATCATGATATAACATTTCAGATACAATAAATATGGGATTCTTGCTTGAGGGGTACCAGAGTGTAGGGTAAAATCTCAAGGCTAGAGATATAAACCAAAATGTTTGGCAAAAACCAACGGAGCTCAAAATATTATAAGACTTGACACCTTTAAGCTTTGGTTGCATCAAGTAAAAAACAACTTCTATTCACAAGAAATAAATAATCGAAAAGAGAGACACACACACACACAGAGCATGGATTCTGTTTTAACTCACGAAGCATGATCATATGAGCTAAGGATTCCTGCATGAGGCCAGGGGTAGTTTGGGCTCTCTAATCCATGTTCAGCCTCATCTGCAGATGCAACAGTTGCAAAACTTAACAGTCCTGAAACACCTGCTCCAAGGAGCGCAAGTGCTCTGAGGGACCTTGCCCCAGCAGAGCCAGCATCATCTTTCTTATGTATTAGAGAAGCCAACAATGGAGAGGCCTGCAATTAAGTGGCATACAAAAACCATTATTATGCTAATCTAGAACTAAGATTTACGATATTTCCACGAGAAAAAAGGTAAAGAGAGACTTTAGTTAGAGACGGAGTTACTAACATAAATGATTGATTTCCTTCTTTCAACAAATGTAAATGGAAATGGCATTTACTTTAAAAAGCATACATAACTCACAAATGAAAGTTAAACTAACATAATCCTAACAATTTCTGGATGCTACCATAAATTTCCAATTAAGTAATGTAGAGCATCACGACGGGAAACGTTGAATGCCGAAGAAAACATAAAGGACAACGATGCGGGACGAAGATCTTACAGTAGATTGAGAATGAAGCTTCCTCCTCAATAACTGGTGGATCGCTCCTCCAGCCATTTCAGTCAATATTCCTGTCAATTACCGAAATCCCAAAACATAAATAAACTTGCACAACTCGTTTGCTCAAATTAAACCTCCAATTGAACAATGGAACTGCGCATACTAACAAAATAACGATTACAAAAAAACTGCAACAAAACGAAATATAATTCTACAACAATTCAAAGAACATATAATTTAAAAAAAAAAATTGGAAACAAACAATCATAAAGTTCAAATTTTGACCGCAGTAACAGTTAAAATTTGGATTGGAACAATCATAAAGTTCAAATTTTGACGGCAGAAATAGTTGAAATTTGGATTGGAACGATCACAGATAAACAGACACGAACCCTAAGTCGGAAGGGGAGCACAGATCTGGGGAGGCATCAGAAATGGAGAGGGAGAGAGAGAGAGAGCGAGAGAGAGAGAGAGAGAGAGAGAGAGAGAGGGATTGAATAGGAACTCACAGTGGGAAAGCGACGTCGTCTGAGATAGAACGGTCAAGGAGCTGCCGGAGCTCGGAGATCGAAATGAAGGAGGAGAAGCAGCAACCGAGGAGGAGGACCTTAAGAACTGTTCCTTCGTTCGCCGTATGCTAGAGAAAATGTGGGACTACGCCTTTTACCACACGCCCCTCTCTCTCTCTCTCTCTCTCTCTCTCTCTCGTTGTAGCCTGATAGAATCGTGGGCCAATGGTGGGCTGAATAGCCCACGTGTGGGACCCGGCGGCTTCTGTTTATGGGCCGGGCTTTTACGGTAATCCGCGGTTAAAAACCGCGCCACGGTTTCCCGTGTTTTCGGCCGCAAGCCATGGTTTCTTTTGAGGGACCGTCGTTTTCGAATTATTATTGTGCTTTCATGGTTTGTGATTGTGATGAACAAAATCATATAATTAATTTTAAGAAAAAACAAAAACTTAAGGGTTTGTTTGGTATTATACTTTAATCCAATTTTTTAAACTTAAAAATAATTTTCAAGTTTTAGACCTTAAAAACTTGTTGAGTATGACTATTTTCAAAAACTGAACTCAATATTAACTAAAAAATATAGTCTATTATTTAAAAACATAAAAAATGAGTTTTTTCAGAGTTTTTAAACTTAAACTCCCTTATTTATGTTCTCTCTCTCTTTTCTTCTTTCTCTCTCCTCTTTTTTTTTACCTTTTTTGTCTCTATTTATGTTCTCTCTCTCTCTTTTCTTCTTTCTCTCTCCTCTTTTTTTTTTACCTTTTTTGTCTCTCGTCCAATCCGCTATCTTCATTCTCTTGATTCTTTCTCTCACTCATCTTCCTCTCTATCTTATCCGATCATCTCTCTTCTTTCTCTTTCCTTCAATGATCTCTTGCTTTCTTTCATTCTCTCTTCTCTTTCTCCCTCTCCTGCGACCCCTTCTTTTTAGATTTCTTTATCTAGTTTAAGTAAGATTTAAAAAATTTAAATCACAAACCAATTAAGTTTTCGAGTTTTAAAGAAAATTGTTTTCAATAAATGTTTTAAGAAATGATAAAAAAAAATTCAAATAGGATTACAAGCAGGTTCTAAGATTTTCAAATATTGGGCTTGAAAGTTGGACTGGACCTATGCCTATGGTTCATAGTGGGCTTATTATGGATGGGGCTGTTAGGGCCCATGGACGTTGCTGGTAAGGAGTCAAATATGGTGTCGACAAATCATGAGATGATAAAAACTTGTGTAGATGTGCTTAGATCGGTTAGTTGGGTCATACTTCATCTCTAAATGTGAGAATTGTCTTTGATAAATAAAAAATAAAAAAAAATAACAGCTAATGTCTTAGAAGTTGGCAACATGGCAACATGACAATGTGACATTAAAATTTCTCCATGTCCATCCTCGGACTGCCTCATCAAAAGATGGTCGGACCACCTGATGAGATGATGTCACATGCGCAATTTACTTTTTAGCTAGGCGCCCACTAACAACATATCGACATGTAAATAGTTGAGAGGGAAACGACTTTAACTTATGTTCGTTTCAAGAGTAATGGTAGATAAACTTTTTAAATCAAAAATTTTAATTGTATTACGTTTCATCAATAAAAAAATAAGTACGTTAATAAAAAATTAAGCACTAATTCAATAATCAGTAATCATGTTATATTATTTACAAAATTATATTTAAAATTTGATCTCTTTAATATTACTGTTTTAATAAATAAACACTGAATATCAGAAAATAATAAATAAAATAATTAAAATGTTTGTTCATCATGTATCATCCTATAAAATGTTCCCAGCTGTGAGCTGTGAGAGTGAGTCCACACAACACCACCACCAACGCCAAACAGTATCTTTTCCCTCCAATCGGATTTACGCTGCCAAATTCCGCGCTCTTATCCCTCCCAATCCCCCCCTCACTCCCTCTCTCTCTCTCCCCGTGAATTTTTCAAATCCCGACCCTCCGCCATGGAGCTCACTCCTCCGCCCCACCGTTGCATTTGGTCCTCGCCGATTCGTTCGTCCTGCTCCTCGCACCGCCCTCTCCTCGTTTCAATTTCGCCTCGGAAGACCAAGCTCCTTAGGTCCGTACCCTCTTTCAGATCGATTCGCCGGAGAAATTTGTGCTCCGCCTCCAGCTCCGAGACGTTGGTTGGGTCGCGGAAGGAGGACGGCGGCAAGGAGATTCAGGTGGTGAGCAAGAAAGACGAGGAGGAAGACTTGAAATCTTGGATGCACAAGAACGGCCTGCCTCCTTGCAAGGTCGTGCTCAAGGACAAACCTTCCTACGACGAGAAGCTCCGGCCCATTCATTACGTAGCTGCCAGCGAAGATCTTGAGGTGATGAGACTCTCAATTTTCCATTTCTGTAAAGTAATTCATAAAGTTCATTGGGTTTTAGTTCTTTGAGTTTCTTGGTGATGGGTTTTGATTTTTGTGTCTTTGAATTGTTGTGATTGCAAGGTTGGTGATGTCGCATTTTCGGTGCCGGATTCTTTAGTTGTGACTCTCAAGAGAGTGTTGGGGAACGAAACAATCGGTAATGTGCAGTTTGTTGTTCAATTTCTCGACTTTCCTAATGAATGTTCATAGTCAATGGGGATATGCAGGCATACGTTAATGTGCATTATGCGTGTTTTATTCTGCAGCTGAATTATTAACTACGAACAAATTATCGGAATTGGCATGCTTGGCATTGTATCTGATGTATGAGAAGAAACAAGGAAAGAAATCATTTTGGTATCCCTATATAAGAGAGCTCGATCGTCAGCGAGGGAGGGGTCAATTAGCGGTGGAATCGCCCCTTTTATGGTCAGAAGCTGAACTGGCCTATCTTACAGGCAGCCCCACAAAGGTATCTTATGCTACGATCACTGTACATGCAAGTTTAAGTAAGTTATGAAATTCTTCAGTATTTCATAATGTTCTTACCCTACATTCTTGTGATGATGAATCAGGCTGACGTTCGTGCAAGGGCCGAAGGAATTAAAAGAGAATATAATGAGCTTGACACTGTCTGGTTTATGGCTGGTTCCCTATTTCAGGTATCACTCAAGTGTATTTGACTGGCACTAGTGTTGTATCCAATTATATGGACTCAAATTTTCTTCATTATTTCATTTTGCAGCAATACCCATATGACATTCCCACAGAGGCCTTCCCATTTGAGATATTCAAACAAGCTTTTGTTGCAGTTCAGTCGTGTGTTGTGCATTTGCAGGTAACTTCCTCATTCTATCGGCAATATGTTTTCTTGTTACACTTAACCAACTCAAGATAAGAAAAGGGTATACGTATTTTCTTAAGTGCCCCATGTCTCCTCTTTGTGCCATGCATTTGTAATCAAGCCATCTGGATTTCTTACATTTTTTTCCCTTTCCGACACAGAAAGTTAGTTTGGCTCAAAGATTTGCGTTGGTTCCTCTTGGGCCCCCATTGTTAGCTTACGGAAGCAACTGTAGAGCAATGTTGACAGCTGTTGATGGTGCTGTTCAACTAGTGGTTGATCGGCCATATAAAGCAGGGGAGTCTATTGTTGTGTGGTATGTTATTTGAATTTTTCAAGGTTATGTAGCTACAGCGTGGCCTTATCATGTTACTTCCATGTAGAAACCATAAAAATGTAATTTTGTAAAATATTATAGGTGTGGACCACAGCCTAATTCAAAGTTGCTTATAAACTATGGTTTTGTTGATGAAGATAATCCTTATGACCGTTTGGTGGTTGAGGTAAATACTGGACAATTTCATAAGCTTGCAGGTTCTGTTCATGTCAAATGTGTATGTGTTTGAAATATCCCATATGTCCTATGTGTTCCAGGCAGCTTTGAACACTGAGGATCCACAATATCAAGATAAAAGAATGGTTGCTCAAAGAAATGGAAAATTATCAGTACAAACTTTTCAGGTGTGTACTTAAAACTATTTCCCTTAAGAAAGTTATAACACGATGTTCTACATTAGTCTTTAATCTGCCTCATTGCTTTCAGGTATATGTGGGAAAGGAAAAGGAAACGGTCTTCGATATGCTTCCCTATCTGCGACTGGGCTATGTTTCAGATCCTTCAGAGATGCAGTCTGTTATCTCTTCTCAAGGTCCAATTTGTGCAGTAAGTTAACTTTTATGTTAAGAGCAAAGTGATTTTCATCAGTAGAATTTGATGGCACTACACCATAAGAGACTGGAACGTAGAACATTTGGGGACCTTGTTAAGGTTTAATAAACATTCTAAAGGTTGTTATCGTCAAGTTATCTGGCACGTGGTTGTTGATATATACTATGCCTATGATTGTATGGAATTCAAAATTATTCGATTAACTGGTGAATATGTCTCGTCTTTAATGAAGCCAAAAAATTAATGGTGATAAATGACGTTGACTGCTGGATGTTATAAACTTATAGGTGAGTCCTTGTATGGAACGAGCGGTGTTGGACCAACTTGCTGATTATTTTAGGACACGGCTGGCTGGCTATCCAACTACATTGAGCGAAGATGATTCTTTGGTAATCTTGGCTCTGTCAAATTAGTAGTGGTACCAGGTTATTGCTAGCTGAATGAAAATTAATATTCTCACTCTTGTGCAGTTGGCAGATGCTAATTTGAATCCAAAGAAGCGAGTTGCTACTCGGCTTGTTAGGTTAGAAAAGAAAATGCTCCATGCATGCCTGAAGGTGGTGGTTGATTTGATAGGCCAGTTACCAGACGACACTGTATCACCATGCCCAGCTCCCTATGCCCCCTCGTTGAAATAAAAAGGTGCGCGTGTTGCTTATTGGTTCAAATGGGAGAATGTAATCCAGTTAAGCTGAAGGAATTTTATGAATCTGTTGGGATACGGGAAAGAAAGAGAGTGCATAGGAACGAATGTCACTCAGAATCTTAAAAGCAGTGGTATTTTTTAAAAGATATCTGAAAAATGAATGTCTTTGGTTAAATTATTTTGGAATGAACAATCTGAATCTGCAACCAAACCTAAAACACTAAATCTTTTGTTAGAGTTGTATCTTTCCGCTGCATAACATATGATGTCTTGTTGTCTTCAGAACCAATCATTGTTTGTGTTATTTCCCTTGATAAGATTTTACCGCGTTTGGTCCGTTTGCATCTGTTGTCATTGAGGAATTTCTGGATCTTTAATGGTAATTTCTGATTGTTAACAGAATAGAAAAGTTTCATAGTTGAACGGATGCATCCTACTAAGTTCCTTTCCAAAACTATTTATCTTTGCAGATGGATCGAAGGAAGCGGGCAACGCATAGGGCAACCAAGGAGAACTGGAATATGTCTCCGCCTCCATCAGGCATCAAAGAGGAGAGAATCAGGCATTCTTTTTCAGTAACATGTAAATTCCTTCCCACTTGTTTGTCAGCATACAATATAATCCGTCCCGACACTCTCCATCGTATATTCTCCCGAATTCATTTTCTTCCTCCCTCAGACGAATGGGGTGCCGGAAAAAAGAAATGAAAGGAAATGAAAATGATGAAGGATGAATGCCTTGATGATTTTGGTAGCTAATGTAATCTTTGGTCGTTCTCTGTAAATGTGAATCGGGACGACCAGACTCTTAATCCGTTTGTGTTCAATGTACATTACTTTGTTCGGAATACGCATAACCCTTCTCGTAGAAGCTTGCTCTGCCTCCGCCATTTTAGTCGAATATCTGCGTTGATTGTCGAAAAACCGATATAAATCGTTGGTTGTAACTCATACATCAAAACTTGATTGTTGAGTTCTCGCAAAATCGTTCATGGATGATCAAAAGAAAAGCTAATATAAAGCATGTTCAAAACTGGTTCTATAACTAGACAGTAGCCAGAGATATCTACTTCTCATCCGGGAGAAAATGACCGAAAATTTTCCATCTCTTTGCAAAATAAGGAGCCAAAAAAACAATTCAATGCTGCAGCATGTTTGTTCATCGCCATTCTCAACTTCAAGTCGATATGTTGGGTGAACCTGCTTAATTCATATGTTAAACTTCTGAGGAACGCCATCATAATCATCGAAGTCAAATCTCTGCCGCTCTCTTCCAGTCTGAACATATATGCAGGTATTAGTTTGATGGACGAAATAGCTAGTTCGGTAACACCACGGAAGCAATTCACTCACCTTTGATAGGAACAAAGGATCAGTTGAGATGTTTTCATCAATAGCAGTCAGCTTCCTTGACAGAGCCATTATCCTGGATGAAGAGGAGGGGAACCGCATTTAAAATGGAAAAAAGCACACCACCTCTCCCGCAGACAAAAGAAAAGAACAATGCGAAATTTAATTGACATTCGGGCAATTTACCTCTGTATTGATGAGTCAATGTGTTCAATCATGTGACAGGTTTTATATTGCTCAGGATCCTCAAGAAATCTAACCATTCCATCCTTCTGGTTGATTGTTGCGAATATTTGACCATCTTCAATCTATACTTTGGTAAAAGAGAACATTAGGGTACAATACAAAAGATTTGTAATACCGATACTTTATTGCTGCTAATTTTGATTTACCATTTGTAGCACATGCATTTCTGCTTCCTTAGCGCTGTTTAGTTGAACGCTGTTGGCTATATCTTGAAGGGAAAGAGTCAAGTATGTCTGAGTCAGTCTCTGAATGTTTCGCTTATACTGGGAAGATAATACCTGCTTCACCAGTCCAAGATTGTTGTCCTAGAGAAAAACACAATTCGAAAGCCAAATAAGAAGGTTGAAGAATTCAAGTCAGAGACTTGTAGGTTACAGAGGAATCATGTTGCATCCACTTTTTCTTTGACACCATGGATACGACATACGAATAAAGGAAAAACAACAGGATGAAAACATTATAAGAACTCACATTTTCATACTTTTCCTTGTGTCTGTCAACCATTGCCTCCAAATGTACAATTTTTCCGCTGACATAGCAGTGCGCCAATTCAATGTAGGGCTGCTCGAAAGGGAGTTAAAAAAACCAAATAAAGTCATCGGAGCTGGTAAGTTTAAATGCTAGCCTACTATGGAATGCTTGATTATATCAGGATTCAAATAAAGCAATCCATTAAAGAAAATACATGCAGCAAAGAGCAGCACTCAACTTTGCATTACCTGACAATAGTTTTTTAGATTCCTCTGACATACTGAGGAGGTGTATTTAGGGAGACTGGTGCAGAACTATCACCACGAAAAGAACAATCATCAAATTATCCTCAAACAAATTTACAGCACAAACAGATGAACTTGTCAAGTCAAAACCGAGTCAAATTAAATGTCAAGGTAGATGGATCTATAAGAAGAAAGGCATACATTCCAATTGTGAATGAGTGAAACCAATATATGCTTTTTGTACGCTTCAACAGCTATTGCATTAAAAGAAGTCATTGGTGATGTTACAACCTGGAAAATATGATTTGCAATTAGAATGGACAAGTAAATCAAACTTCATAAAGAACATAATTTGAAGAGTATAAGAAGGTAAACTGAATATAGATCACAGACATTGTGAAGAAGCTCCAATGCTTTGCGAAAACGCTTTTGTCCGATGCATATCATCCCCCTACAATGATGTCAAAAGTGAAATAGTGTCAAAATTGTCCTTAGCAACACAACCCCCCCCCCCCCCCCCCCCTAAAAAAAAGATTAAAGAATTAAGAAGGAGCAAAACATGTCAAATATGTCAAACGAAGCAAGGACACTTCCAAGAAGAAAATGAAAGTAATTTCCTCAATAATTAAAAACAGCTAACTCAAGGGAAAGCAAACTGAAACAAAGATAACACTGTTGAAAGAGCAACCGACCCGTAATAGCAATAGAGAAAAAGATCCCTTGGCTGATCAACCTCAAATATGTCATCATCTAAAACGGAATATCCAACTTTATAGGATTTTGACAACAAACAAAGCAGAAGAAACTCTGGATGCAAAGAAGTCAAATGTTCTGAGGAGGTCTGAATTTTCCGAATAGCTGTCAGCATCGGTGCCACTCCCCGCAGTGGTGCTTCAAGAAGCATAACATGATCTTTGAACCTCTTGCAAACAGATATGACTGCAAACCAAACAAATCCACAGAAAGAGGAATGAAATATGCCGTTTAACGTTTACGCAAATCAAATAAAAGAGTAAACATGAATACATTTATCAGATTGCAAACGAATCTGCTCCGCAACACAGGAGTTGATAAATCTAGCAATGGGCAGGACCAACGCACTCGCCTGCTCTTTTGAAATCGAACCAGATGAGCATGCCTCCCTGTCACCACATTCACAAACCCATGATACTGTCAATTTCCACCAAATTTTCAAATGCTGGTGACTAGCAACCAGGCGGAATCTTAAACAAATGAACCGCACACTATACATGTTTTCGACAATCAAATTTGTGAACACAATTGCAATTTTCAAGCACTGCCAGAATTCTTAATGCAAATTATGTAATATCAAATTAAAAGATGTGTCTGAATTCTTTTACTCGATCACCAAACAGTAGATTAGGGCACATAATTATCGCTCCCACATCCCCCAACAATCAAACCCTAGCACATTGCGAACGACGCCGTCTGACTACACCCTAGGGCATCCAATACTGAAAACGAAAAATACACATAAAATTCGAAAACGAGGAGTGTCAGAGTGATGAAGAGGCTCACAGGATGTAGAGGTATCCGAGAGAGTGCGTGGCGGGGTCGAGCTGGTCGAGAACGGGAAGCAACCGAGTCGACTCGGCGTAGAGCGACTCCTGCGCTTGCTTCAGAAGGACGTGGAGGTGCGAGATGTCGCCGGAGCTCGACAGCCCTTGGATGTTCGTCACCAGAGATTGCATGGCTTCCATGGCTTCCGGTCAAGTTTCCGATTTCTGAGAATCCGGGAGCGGAAACGAGAGAGAAAGCTTCGGGAGCTAGCTCTGGTTTTTGGTTGCGTGCGTGTGTTATACGAGTTGATAAAAAACACGATCAACTAAGCCCATTAAAATGGGCTGTAGGCCCAGTAAAGAAAACAATGTCCATTTGTTGGGCCCATAATAAAAGTTGGCCCAAAGTGAAGGATCTCTCTCTCTCTCTCACTGGATCTTTCACTCTCGCCCTCGCTTCTCTTTCTCACTCCTAAATTGGACGACGCCATTGACAACCAGAGGAATCAATTTTGAGCTTTTCTTCTCTTCTTGCTGTTTGAGGCGAATACCAGAGAGAGAGAGAAATGGCGGACTATCACTTTGTGTACAAGGATGTGGAGGGAGCATCGACCCAGTGGGACGACATACAGAGAAAGCTCGGGAACCTTCCGGCGAAGCCACCGCCGTTCAAGCCGCCGAAGTTCACACCAGCTCAGGACGAAGCCTCCCTTCCCAAAGACAAGTCCTGGATCGATGAAAAATCCGAACAGGACCTCGAAGACCTCGAGGACAATCCCGATCTCGATGACGATCGCTTCCTCGAAGAATACAGGTCCTTACAGTTCAATTTTTTTACAGAATTACAGCTTAATTTACTTGCAATTGAAACCGTAAATGTGAAGAATTGGATGTTGGACAGGAAGAAGAGGCTGGCGGAGCTGAGAGAAGCAGCCAAAGTTGCGAGGTTCGGATCGGTGGTGCCGATTTCGGGATCGGATTTCGTGCGGGAGGTGTCGCAGGCGCCGCCGGATGTGTGGGTGGTGGTGATTCTGTACAAAGAAGGAATCCCCGAGTGCGGGGTTTTGATGCAGTGTTTGGATGATTTGGCGACCAAATATCCGGCTACGAAATTCGTCAAGATAATATCGACGGACTGCATTCCGAACTACCCTGATCGGAATGTTCCGACTGTTTTAGTGTACAACAGTGGGAATGTCAAAGCTAATTACGTCGGCTTGCAGAGCTTCGGCCGCAGATGCACACCTGAAGGTATTTCATTTATGCTTTATTTATACAAAGCGATAATTATTTAAAAGGAAACTAATGAGAAGGGGTTTGAAAACTTTGAGTTTTAACGATTTGAATAAAATAAAGAGACAAGTGAATAGTATTAGATTGACTTTTTAGTTTAAAAATGTGATTTTTTGTCAAAGTGAACAGTACTAGAAGGTTTTCGTTAAAATTCCCTTATTTAAAACTAATCTAAATTGCGGGGAGGGGATTCAGACTCAATTTTATAGGGAAACACATTCGCTCGAGCTAATGTAGTTACACTCATGTCTGCAATGAAATTTTAAGCTTTTTAGTTAACATATGGTTCGTTTGGAAGTATTTTTAAAATCTAAAAGCGGTTTTAGTGTTTTTTGAGAACGAAAATCTATTTCAACAAAAACGCTTTCAGTTATTTTAAAAGCACTTGTAAACGAGCCATAACGTGTATATAGAACACAAATTATTGTGGGAAGTGGATTCAAGTTAACATGGACCGTGAGGAAGTGGAGTTTTTCATTTTGATAAAACGACATTGTAATCTACTCTGATCTACGGGGAGGGGGATTCGAACTTGGGTGATGGTGCGGGTACACCACAAGTTGTGGCCTTCTGCTGCGATACGAGATCGTTTTGGTTTGGATCCCACAGATGATTGTATGCTGAGGTCTTAATGCGAGCCACTTAAAACTCTTTTGAATAAATCTTTCTGTGCTCTGCTGAAATATCAGGTGTGGCATTACTTCTGTGCCAATCAGATCCTGTACTTAATGATGGCCTGAGCGGAAATGATCGGTCGAGGCAAGCTGTGATCGACGGAGTTCGCAAGAGGTTTATAGAGAAGGTTGTGACAGAGCATGAGGATGTTGACGATGGATCCTCGAGCGATTAGAACCTTGGTAACTTTATTTTGGGTTTCTGTAAGAGTTTGAGTTTAGATTGGAATCAGATGACTTGTTTTTTCTTCTTTCTTGTTCTAGTACGGTGGTTCTGGTTTCTCATTGCTTGTGAAAGATAATGTAGATTTCTCATCAACACATTATACACACTTCAATGAATTTGAGTTTTGAGATTTGTGAAGCGGGGTAGATTAAATCAAACTCATCCAACAGCAGAGCAGTCGACTTGTTTGAAAACAAAATTGTGGCAAGTGATTTATATATCCGTAGAATTCAAAAACCGCAACAATACCCAAAAAGATTATTGCTGGACGAAAACAAGAACTTAAAATTATGACCCGGCGAACACCATCAAACATTGTTATAGCAAAAGTGTTACTCCAAAGAAGTGTTACTCCAAAGAGTTTATGACCTTTTTTTTTTCGGTCGAATATGACATGTTTACTTACCTAAAATTAACAATTACTTCGTTCCTTGTGGTTCTTTAATACCAAATCTTAGAACGCGTTTTTACTTTTTAAATAATTAAAAGCGCTTTTAGATAAAATATTTTTAGATCCAAAAGCACATTAGGTGTTTTACTTCTTGTAGAAAACATTTTAAGTATTTTTTTTTAAATTCACTTACAATTTTACCAAAAATTGATTCCAAAAATATTTTCACCAAAATGGTTGAAATGAAAACATATTCAAGCAAGTATTTCTTCTTATTCCTTCTCCGCTCATCTTTAATATTATTTGTTGTTTTTATTTATTTATTTAATTTGATGGTCAAAAATTTAATATAAAATATGCGGGAGGCTGAAAATAGTACTTAACCAAAATATTTCTAGGATCAAGCATGGTTCGAACCGGTTCAAATTATGGCTACAACCTTTCTGACTGGGCCCGGTTTGGACCGAATTGGTAAATGGGTTTACAGAATTGGAGATTCAACAAAAATAAGCTCCATGGTGGTTTGCTGAGAGTCTTTGAAACTTGAATCAACAATGGCTAAACCTTTCGAAAAAAACACCGAAATGTACGAAGCATGGATACGGATACGGATATAGGGATACAATACGACACGACATGGCAAATATCCTAAATGTAGGATACGCGTATCCATCGTGTCAAATTCGTGTCCATCAACCAAGATACGTGTCGGATGAGTATCCGTGAGTATCGGGCAACTATCGTATCCGATCAAGTATGGGATACGGGCTACAGAACCAAACAGAAGTATCCGTGCATCGTAGCGTACAACTAATAAACTTGCTGCAAGGGAGACCATACGACTACGAAAACTAGCGCCGTCTACAATTTACGCAGGACGATCCGAACGCTATGCACGCACGTACATAGTTTCTGAGGTGCCTCTGTTGACCATATCGTCATCTACCCACGTTTTGTCCCGTTTCGGACGTTTTGAGATCAGTATATCACCATAGGAAACATCTTGCTTCACATTCACATACCCTTGAGTCTTCAACACCTGCAGAAAAAGAAAAGACAATGACGTGCTGCACAAGGTTTTGCATCGGCATGTTTGAAAGTTGCAATTTCGGTTCATGAATTCTAAAACAACTAAAATGAAGCTGGCTCGTGGACGTAGTTAAACGAAGATTCTACACCATATCAGCGCAGAAAGATCGTACCAGTAGCTCGTAAAACAGCCTTGCAGTTTCTTTCTTTGTTCTTCCTTTCGAAACCTCCAAGAAGTTCACTTCCTCCTTTCCTCCATTTTTACAATTTGGAAAGCGTCTATGCAAGTACCTTGCGACCATTCTGTATGCACAAAGTTTAACATGTTGAAGAAAAAATTGTACAAAGAATGAATAACCCTGACATTTATGCCAAAAAGAGTTTGAGGGGGCCGATCCACCATACCTGGTTCTCCCAGACAATCCCTCTGCAACAAAAAAAAAAGGGTTTCGAGATTCAGTTAGTGAGAAAAATATACAAGTAGAAGCTTAGCTTAATGAAAACAATTTGAGACTCCTACCCAGTTGCGGGTTGACTCCTTCGGATGAATCAATGTCCTGGGGCAAGATAGAAATAACAAAGTTAGGAAAAATAAGGAACAGCGAAAGATACAAACTGGTTCAATTCTGGAACCACATGAGAAGCAACTTAATAACGTGTAGCGGCATCAACATCCTACATGCTCATTTCAGACCTTTAGTTAGGTATGTGCGAGCTTGTTACGTGCGCTAAAGCTGTTTAGTACCACAAATAGAATGGTTTAGCGAGATGGCTAGGCGGTATGCAAACGCAATCATTATTACTATACCTCATTCAACAAATTAAAATCATGTTCCTGATCCCCGTCCAGAAATGGTACTTCTTCTGCTTATCCAGATGGGGCAGGTTGCTCCCTGCTGCCCAGGGGTGGCTCCTCTTTCTCCATCCCTCCAAATGTCTCAGGTGTTAAGATATCCATATCAACAGCGTCAGGGCTCTTTGGAGTCCCAAATGATTTCACTGATTGTGAGCGAAGAACGGGTGTTTCTGGTGCAATTTCTACTTGCTCTGACTTAACACCACTTGGAGATTCTGGCGCATGTAACTTTTCTGGAGGGGCAACTGGTTCGGCTGGTGCTGTAATCTTTAATTTCGTTTTGCAGAAGATGGATCTAAGTTCTCGCGAAACAGCAGCTGAAAATATATGGTTAGCAACGGTTCCACGAGGACCAGGACTGATGAAACATAAAGTAAATAATGATAGAAAATTACCAGGTATCAATGGCTCTGAGAAATCATGGCAAAGATTTGCAATTCGACTGGCTTTCCAGATAGCAAGGGCAGTTTGAGGAACTTTCTTTCTTTTAGAAACCATGTCACTTGCATCATTTATGCTTTTCCTGATTACCCTGTGAAATTTTTTGTTGCAAATTTACATTCCGCGGTCAACTTATAATCCATTAAAACATAGCCAAAGCATCCTGAACAATTTTATCACGAACGATTTTATCAATACACAAAACAGAAACACTTCAACTAACACATGTAAAGGGGAAGTAAACCATTACGTACTCATTAGGCAGGACTATCATATCATCCATGACACATTTCCTTTTCCTAGAAAATCGAGCAAACTCCTTAGAAGCCGGTGTATGAATAACCATAAACTTTGGTGCACCTGCATTAGGAGAAATTATTTCAGACAAACTTGTTAAGAACGCATGAAAGCTTTAATTTCGCATATATTGCAAAGCATAAGATGGAATTTAGTAAAGTGACAGGCCACGCAAAATAACGTCCAATTGTGTATGTTAGGGTGCAAAATTAGCCCTTTACCACAGACGTATACAACTAAGGAATTGACAATGTTGTACCTGCATCGGGGATTTTGACACCAGGAGTTCCATCACATGAAACAGAGAGAGGATCTCGATCTTCTTGCATGATAATTTGACGTTCTTTACTATCCGGTGAAATCATCTCGGGTAATTTTTTTGGCTCTCCATCGTTATGATTTGCTTGACCAGATGAACAAACAAGTTCTCGAGGTTGCTTCGCCTCATTAAATGTATCAATGTCCATGTACTCTTCTTGAGAAACTGTACAACTCTGCAACTTTTCCATGCCAGCTTCTACGGTGATTAGATTATGGTCTTGTACTATATTTGGACATGTCTGACTTTCTGGTTGTACCAACTCTGGTTCCATAATCTCCTCCCGATCAATTTGATGACCTTCACTGGATGATTTAATAACATGGTGGGAAGGTTCTCTCTCAGTCCCATCGAATGTCTCAAGGTTCAAACCTTCGGGAGACAACCTAAGGTCTTGAAGCTTTTCCCCCGGGTTTGCTTGTCCTCGAATAGCAACTTCAGAAAGTGCTACATTAGTTTCTTGACCTTCACCAGATGGTTTAACTTGTCTTGGAGGTTCGTCCTCAACTCTAAAAGTTGTTTCTAGATCAGCGCATTCTTCTTGATAGAACACTTTCTCTTGAAACTTCGCCACAACTGCCGCTGACTTGGTTCCACTACTCGATGCTCTTAGCTCAGTGTCAAAACCCAACCAGTGAGACGAAAGTACACTGAAATAAGACATACCTGTCAAACATAAGATTAAAGGAAAATATTGCAAAACTAATCTAGAATTTGAGCATCCGGAAAGATCGTACATACTCTTTGACTGGGGTGTCACAGGCACCAAATTCCTCGTAATCATGCTGCGCAAACACAAACCCAGTCATATATGCATGTTCGCAATACAAATTAATCAAACCTATGAAAATGCTTATGAGGAAATTTGGAAATCATTAAGAACTAATTGTTACACAAAAATTAACGGCTTGAAAAAGAAACGTGAATAACATCAAAGTTTAGAGACGAAGAATGATCAAGTGACGTACCATTTCTGAATAAAATTGTCCTCTTCCATTCCCCTGCGCACTATCTGTTTCATATCATGCTGAATCATGTAAAACTGTACAAATAAGACCAAGTAAAATAGTATTCAAGACCGCAGATTAATACCTTTCAATGTGATTTCTTCATCAGCCACCACATTGCCTCTGTGAATTAATCGAAAAACACATGTTAAATACGAGTACTAAATACAGGAATATCCTCACACAGTTTTATAAGTTACACAGCTTACCCACTGACATCTTCAATTTCAAGGATCCCCAGATCGAAAGCATCAAGTTCAAACCTATCAGGTAGCGTAACAGCGTAATAAGGTGCACGCAGCTTATCTGCGCCTGCATTCTTTTTTGTGCTGACTACAAATTTGTTGATTTTAACCAGCACTTCACTGCAGTCATCATACAGATATTCAACTTTCTTTGAGAATATTCGAACGACGCCAAGAAGAAGGTAGGCCAGTACCCTGTACGCAACAGCATCCCATTCATCCTGCAAAATTTCATCTGCGACAACAGATTCCGGTTTTAGGATATTCCAGGCTTAATGCTGAATAACACGAATGATTTTTCCCAACACTAAACCTGATAAACTCGAAGCGAATGTCCTCAACCCTTATGAACGTAGCACTTTAAAAGGACAGAATCCCATCCGAACCACTCTAAATAAACATGATCGAGTTGAAATAATACTTTTACATAAGATTATGTAATCTGTTAGTCTTTCAAGTTCTGTTTCAAAATCCCAGATATCATATCCACTTCCCCTTGCATTACCAAAACCCGAAACGCAAGTAAGACTGTCCAAGAAGCAATTTGCATTTTTCTTTTCGCCAATAAGTGATTCGGTTTCTTCTAGCGAAAGACTTTGCGCAAAAGCATTCTAGAATTTATACAATCGACCCCACTTAATGGGATACGGCTTTTGTTGTTGGAAATTTTTCTGGTAACTTCTGTTTCGAACTTTTCTGTAATTTCTCCAAACAACAAAAATTACTACACCAAAAAAAATTTCCCAGATGGTTGATAACAGAGGTTAATGGAAAACCCAGAAACCAGATGACAAAACTGATCAACGTCAATGCAAATATGCATAATTAAGCACCAAAATATGAGAAGAGAGGAAACGAACCGATGGAGGAGGAGATGTCGGTCTGGTTGACCTGCGACCTCTTGAGCTTTTTGAACGAGTAGGCGGCAACCCAAATGCCGCCCAACGGCCCTTTTCTCGACAGCAGGCGCTGCGAGTAGAACATCGTCGCCTTTGAAAAGCTTGAAGCCTTTCACTCTCTGCGATTGGTTAGTGTGCTCGCTTCTCTTCAGAGTCGGAGATCGAAGGAGAAAGAAAAAAAAACAGAGGAATGCGGTTATGTCAGCAACCTGCTAACAAATGTAAGTGCGGGCCACGGAGGGAGGGAGGGAGTTAAAAGACAAGAAACGGTCGACTGGTGGTGTAGTGTGCCTTGCAAGTCTCAGACCGAAAAGAAAAAAAACAAATTAGCAAAATCTTTTTTATTTTCAAAATTAAATGTTAAATTAGTGACAATAAAATATTTAATCACATTTACCCATTTTGCGCAGTTATAGTGGTTAGAATAGATGTCTTCGCTCAAAAAACGCACGAGTTTAGATTCTACTTTTTAACGTTTCCATAATCTGAATTAATTTAAAATAGAGTAGTACTTAAACAAAAGAATAAAATTAAAATGCCAATTAGTTAGGAATGCATTTTTGCTCACCACCATTTAGTGTGGTGTATGCTCACCACCCTATTTATCACTGTTTGATGAGTTTGAATATTGAGATTTGTGTTTATTCACTACACGAATCTCGAAATTCAAACTCATTTAATAGTGATAATTAGGATAGTGAGTATACATCATACTAAATCATGATGATACACCGCCTAAAAACAAAAATACATAAATGATGGGCAGCCAAATTTGCATGACATACCATTTTTATTGCAAATACATAAATGATATTCCTAAAAACAAAAATACATAAATGATAAAAGGGAAAGAAATTGGTAGGGTGTAAATTGAATTACTATATTTAAAATAAAATAAAAAAGTTTAAAGAAAAATATCTGAATTTGGAAACAAAAAGTTAAAACTTTATGCTAAAATGGGAAAAGACAGAAGAACGCCAGGACCAAGAAGATAATTTGATATTTTGCTTTAAAGTGCCTACTACGTGTCATTCCACCATCCAACTTTAACCACCCGACCAATCATTGAAAAACCAAGACCTGCATTTTTTGTGCGCTGACCTCAAATTTCGAAGAGCAAACTTACTAGCTACGACTTACAACAGTGGTTTTCGGTACTAAACGCTCCGTTTGTTTCACCTCCTCGGCTAGGATTATAAGACCATCTCTAACCAAACGTTAGCTCTATAATCTGGTAAGAAATTATATTTTAATAAACAATACTATACTATATTTTATATCATCTCCAACCGAGTAGATCAAAAAGTTATAGACCAAACATAATTATTTGACAAAAAACCATCTTCAACCGAAGGGACCAAGGGGCCATAGACCAAACATAATTTTTTATTTTATTTTAATTAATATGGTTAATTAAATTAAATTACAATATTAAAATAAGGTTTTTTTTAGTGTCACTTGTCGTTAAATGAATAAGCTTTTGGATTTCTTATCTTTATATGATCTCAATAATTTTTTCGGATAGGATTTCAAGTGACACGTGGCTCTAACGTTAGTAACTCTCCATATTTCTTATCTTTATGTAATCTCAATAATTTTTCGGATAAGATTTCGAGTGGCACGTGTCGCTATAGTAAGTAACTCTCCATATTTTTTATTTTTATGTAATCTTAATAATTTTTCGAATATGATTTCTCCATATTTCTTATCTTTATGTAATCTCGATAATTTTTCGGATAAGATTTCGAGTGGCACGTGTCGCTATAGTAAGTAACTCTCCATATTTTTTATTTTTATGTAATCTTAGTAATTTTTCGAATAGGATTTCGTGTGCCATGTGTTGAGATGTAATTGGTTGTGCAAATTTTAGATAGGATTCTTATTTACGTGACACTTCTTATCTTTAACTTTCAATGTTGTAAGAATGGTGTAGGTATTTATAAGAAAAAAAATTAGATTTTTTTTTAAATTCGTCCAAATAAAAAATATTCAAATTCCAACAGTAACCTGACGGTAGCATGACATTAGCTAGCCGTTGCTAGCTGGCGTTATGCTGACACCAGGCAATTGGCATTCAAATGGGCTGAGTTGGAGGGCTGGCAAAATGTCAAGCTTGACATTCTAGCACTGGAGGGCTGACTGGTTAGGTGGAAATGGCCAGCCCGCTGGCTTGATTTGGGGGTTTGGGCCCAGTGGGGCCCATAAGCCATTTGGTCTAGCCTTCGGTTGAAGACGATTTTCATGTCATTCCAAGTTATTTTTAGCCCAATGATTCTTTGGGCCGGGTCGGTTAGAGATGGGCTAATATGGTTGCTTGGAGGCCCAAATTTGAGGCCTCGCAGCGCGCGGCGGGGTTTATTCAAAATCTAAAACCCTAGAGAGCTCCACCCATGTCGATCTTTCTGAGACGCGCGCTGTCATACCGGAACGTCTTTCTCCTCCGTAGCTCCCAGCTGCTCAGTCGCAATCTCCGTCAATGCAACCCCGAGCCACCGCACAGGGTTCTCTCTCTTCCGGGCCTTGAATTCTTCAGAGAAAGCCGCAGAGGCTTCGCCAAAGGCCGCAATCAAGGTACCTTCTCTCTCTAGCTCTCTCTCATATGTAACTTCTTCACTCTTTTGATGTGATTTTCCAATTTTTCCACATTTTCAGAAAAAGAAAAGGAAGAGGAATCGGCTTCGAGTACAGTTGAAATTTTGCCAAACATGGGGCCAACGATCAAGGCGAACGCCACCTCGCATATGGAGGCGGCGATCGCAGCATTAACCTCCGAATTAAGCAAACTGCGTACCGGAAGAGCAGCTCCGGGTACACTCTCAGTTCCTCCGGTGCCAAATCACTGTTCATTTACTCAGTTTTGGTTCTTACTGTTCTAAGTTGTCTGAAATGTTTATGCAGGAATGCTTGATCACATCATTGTGGAAACCGGCGGTGTGAAGTTGCCCTTGCATCAGATAGCCGCTGTTTCGGTCATTGATTCAAAAACTTTATCACTGTAGTGGATGGGGACCGACTGGTTGGTTGCAGCTATTCCCCCGTAAGCACGCATCTGATTGTCGCTCATGCTGTCATGAATTTTGGTTTTCATAATTTTTGAGCCTCTTAGTTCTTAATAATAACTCGAAAATATTCCCCAAGCTAACTTGGACTCAGCCATGTGTTTGATTACTTGACTAATTTGATCTCTTCTAATTTTTGTGATGGCCAGATTGACGAAAGAGCATGTTCGGGTGACTTACAACTGCTTTTCCCGTCGTTGTTTTTGTTGTTCTTGATAATTACCATATCTTATCAGTGAACGTATCCTACCAGGCTATCTGTAAAGTGGTTACCAAGTCCTCTGAAGATGGCAAGCAGAGTATTCGAAGAGCTCGCCAAAAGGTAACAGAAGTAAATTCTGTTTTTGTAATATATTGCATATTTCATTGCACGATATCCATCTAACAGATTAACTAGACGATATTTCTGCACAGTTACCATCACATGCTTCAATTGCAAGTTTATACATGTTAATAACGCAAAATACTTTGTAGTAAGAAATGATCCTTCGTTGCGATGAGCAATTTACCAGTACTATTGGACAATTAGTAATATCTCTAGTTTCCTGGTCTCTTGTCTGGTGGTCTCAGGAAGAAATGTATCATTAGTAGCACTGAAGACCAAAACAGTGAGGGATGTAGAACGATCACTCGTGCTTGGTATGTGAAAACGGATTCTAAAGTTTGGCCGCTTTGCAGCACAACTAAATAGCAGGGCCGGTCCTGAGATTTTGGGGTCCTGTGCGAGACTCCCCTTAATAAGTATAGAATTTTGGTTGATATGTTTTATTTTACATTTTAATTTTTATGATTATTTATAGATTGAGTTAAAGAAAAAATTTCGTGCTGTGGTTAGATATCTATTTGCTATGTAAAAGAAAAAAATTCGGTGCTGTGTTTTTGGGTTCGAAACTCTTTATTTTAACATACCCAATAAAAAGCCCTTAGAGGGTCTAACATTTTGTTGCTATGTTTTCTTTTACATTTAATTATGATCACATATAATTGAGATGATGTAAGGAAAACAAAAATCTTAGTGTGGCGGTTAGGTACCTATTTACATCCCCTATGTTTTTGGGTTTGAAACACCATGCTTTAAATTAAACAAAATTAAAACAGAACTCATTCTTTTAAATACCAAAACAATTAAAATAAAAACACAAAAGAAAGTAAAATAAAACATTAAATAAACACCACATACCCAAAAATTTAAAATAAAAAAAAAGGCGCCGGGTACAGTCGAACCCAGTTTCATGGACATGGATTATGGATAAGAAGCGGAAGACAATTGGGCTATGAGAAGACTTTGGCATATCATTGCAAATTTAAAAACTTATACTATATCTACAGGTAAAATAAAATTGTAATCAAGGGCCTTTCTGAATTGGGGACCCTGTGCGGTGGCATCACTTGCACACCCTCACAGCCAGCTCTGCTAAATAGGTTGTTGGTTTCTTTTACAGGCAATGGATACGGTAAAAAAGTTGACCAAAAACTACTCCAAAGACGACTTAAAAAGATGGGAGAAAGAGGTGAGTTTAACTTAAGAACAAACTGCTCCCAAATTGATATGGGGTTTGGCTACAATACACCGGAGTATGGCATACTCCGGCACCTAGAGCCGTTATATCCAATTAGGTTCAATTCAAAATTGGATCCAACGGTTATTGCAGAAAATTTAATTGATATGATGCAAGTTTTTGTTTTGCTCATTGGTTTTTCGGAATGGCTACATTTTCCAGGTTGATGAGTTGACTAAAAAGCTTGTCAAGACAGCAGAGGAGTTATGCAAGGCAAAGGAGAAGGAGATCAGTTCAGGCTAAAAGGTGGTGTTTTCGGTGTATTTTGAATCTGTTTGGCGCTCGATCCCACTCCCTTCCGAAAGAGCTCTACCCGAGTTCGTTTCAATGGTTACAAAGATTTAGTTTCGATTCAAACCAGTTAAGGGCCCGCTTGGTAATCATTTTGTTTCAGTTTTAATTTTTGGTTTTCGATGTCCCTTATGACGAGAACATACAACTGCGGGATCAAAACCTTTACAATGAAAAGAAATCGACTCTACTTCTAAGTACTTCAAGACGAAGTATTCCTGGAAACCGCTCTATACACCATCCTACTTCACCGGTCACCACCGTTCACAACTCCCTCTGTCTACCGAAAAGAGCCTCCTTGGTCACGAGCTTTATACCTCTCACCCAAAGCTTGGCGGTTTCAACTCCGCCTTCAGACACAAAATGCACCTCCTTGTTCTTGGTAGTCACCACCCTAAACACTCCGGGTTCATCTGCATCACTCTGGCTCCTCCTATTCCTCCTAAAGGCTGGACTAGGCCCCACCTCCGCCTCCCGGCATTTCACATTTCTCCGGTTTGACTTCCCCCAGCACAGCACCCCTACAGCTCCCACCATCCTCACCTCTTTCCCATGAGGGCTTCCTTTCCCTCCCCTTGTATGCTTCCGGAGAAGCGCCCCTCCTAGCACCAGCTTGCGAGCTAGCTCATCTAGTATCACCCGCTCCGCATCATTTTTCAAACCGCGGCTTGTCCTCGCAAGCGAAAGCGGTGTTTCGCCTTTGGCATTTTTGACATCCACGTTTGCTCCGTGAGAGATCAAGAGTTCACACACGAGACCATAACCTTCCCTAGCCGCTAACATGAGCGGAGTGTTACCATCTCCGTCAGGGACATTCACATCATATCCCCTACTTGTTAACAATTTGACTGCATCGTCATCTCCACGGCGTGCTGCGCAGTGCAGAGCGTAGAACCCTCCAGCGTAAAGATTGCCCTTTTCTAGTGCATATTCGAGCATTACCTTCTCGAACAGGTCACGGTTTTGGCTTATTTCTGACAGAGTAATTGCAGTCTCCCCAGACTTGTTACACAATTTTACATCAGCCCCTGCATAAACCAGAAACCTGAATGCTTCAACGTGTCCCTTCAAAGCAGTGATCATAACGGCCGTGAAACCTTTACCGTCTTGATAATCAATGTCAAATTCTCCTGAAACAACTACGGCTTTCAAGGCCTCAATATCGCCGGCTTGAGCTGCAAACATTAGGGGAGAGAAAACAGAAAAGTTGCTGGATTTGGGCATCTTTCCGTCTCTTATTACATACATCAACGCCTGCTGAAAACCAAGGGACCACCTAGCTATCCTGGCAATCGAACTAACAGACTGACCAGCCGCGTTAACCAAGCCAAAATCAGCACCGGCTGCCGCCAATACTCTGAGACATTCTTCATGCTTGTATTTTGCGCAGATCATTAGAGCTGTCTCACCGGAATCAGTCTTGGAGTTCATATCACATCCCGATTCAATTAAACATCGAACGACCGTTGGCAAGCCAAGGCGGGCAGCCATGTGTATCGGATTAAACATGGTACTACCAGTTGTTTTAACGGGTGATTCTACATTGGCACCGCAACTCAAGAGCACGCGGACGGCCCCTCCATTACCGCATAGAATAGCGTGGTGCAGGAGAGTTCTTCCACAATGAGGGGTATCCGGAGAACGGCCCTGGAGGAGCACGTGCAAGACAGAACCGCTTGCTTCAAAATACTCTACTGCACACCAGGTAATGGGATAAGGCTCCGCCAGCCCTGCCCCAACCCGCAACTCTTCCCCCGTAGCCGGGTCCCACGACCATGCTCCCAATCTCACATTGACATCCGTCCTCACGCCGGCCTAATTTTCCAGTTTTGGAACAAAGAACAAGCGAGGGTTGTTAGTCATGTGGAGTGAATAGAAGAAGGATACAAGGACAGTAGTAATTTAGAAGATGAAACAGTAACAGTACTATTGTCCTGTCAGAAGGATAGAATCAGAATCATTTTCTGTTTAGATCTTACTGCAATCATAGAACTGTGTACCACTCTATCCCTATTGAAAGGTACAAATCCAGCTGTCCAGGTTAATGCACCTCCTTAGAGGGGGCCTACGGTTGGAATCTCAGTTGAAAATTACTTACCTACAACAATCAAGCCTTATCTCATTAAGTGGGGTTAATCCTGTCGAACCCTGGACCTGGTGGGAATGTAAGGTTCATGAAACCACCAGGACACAAAGGACGGGTAAAAAAAGCGGAATTTCATTTAGGATTCATATAAGAGGGATTCGAGGTGCCAACTACTTAACGCACTCCCACTCCTCCTTTATCCAAGCTTAAGACCCGGCAGCGGAAGATTAACTTACACTAGCCAAGTTTGAAAATTACTTCTCTACTATTGCTAAATTATGGGTTTCGGGGTCGTATCTGATCAATCTAATGATACGTTTTTAGGCTTAAGAATGAAGGGAAACTGACAGTAAAACAACCTGGCCGGCTCACCCTTAACTTGTCCATATGTCCATCATCATTGATTTAAACTAAGCAAATTGAAAGTGATGTGGGAATCACCTGTAGCAGCAAACGTACGATGGGGACCTGCCTACTCACAACTGCAGCCACAAGTGCACTACAGTCAACATTAGTGTGAAGAGCTGGCTTAGACGATTGAAGTAGCGTCCTATCAGCCGCACTTGCATCCACACCGCACTGCAATTGAGCAAGACGGACAATGTTATTGTGCTTATAAAATCTGGTTAAGTATCGTAATAGTACTAATTCATGAGAGTGTCAGCTGTATATATGAACCCTAGAACATCATTGCGCTCGGTTTAGCGCCAAGTTTTCCAAATTTACTATATGCTATCTGCTGTGGGATTCAGAAAGTTGCTGCTGAACAGCTCTTACGGGAAAATGAATACGACGCTCTACCTTCATGAGAGTGTCCACCACATCAGCAAACCCCCTGCAGCTGGCTGTGACGATAGCATGCACAGCAACATGGGGCCGGATCAAATCAGAGGCCATAAGCCGCTCCACGAGCGTAGCATGTCCATGACAACTTGCCTCCAATAGAGCTTCCTCACAAGCCGGTTGAGATGCTCCAGCTTTCAGTAGGATCTCTAGAATCTCAAGGTGGCCCTCTCTCACTGCTGCCGTTGTCGCGAAGCCCCTGAAGAGTTTCTGATTTACGTCAGCTCCGATGCTCTGCGATTCAAGAAAACGCCAATCCTTAGTACGTTACAAAGCCAGAAACAGTAGCAATTCCGCGGGCAGACATAACACCATTCAATCTATCACATTCTTAGTTTGTAAACACATGAAAAATGCTTTGCAGAGAATGTGATTAAGCGGAAAACGCTTCAATCTCCTTCAATGAAGTACAAATACAACTTCAAAATCAGTTCAAATTCTACAAAACAAACGAAAAAAAGCTTCAAATCAAACGATATAATCGTAAAAAATGCATAAATAGTTCAAAATAATTCAATTTAAACAGAAAAAGCTTTCAAATTCGGTGAGAAATCAACAATGTGAAGAAAAAACATTCAAATCTCGACTTCAAGCACAGTGATCTGGTAACACACAGTCTACAACCAAAGCTTGAATAACACATTACCAGCAGTTTCTTCACCAAAGCGACGTTTCCAGCATGAACGGCGAGGAACAGAGCCGTGACGTCGGTTTTGAACTCCTCGTAGTCGACGCGGACTTCGCTCGCCGACTCGTCGCGCAACAGCACCTCACACTTTCTCGTTTTGAGACTCACATCGCCGACGAAGTTGACGTCCACGAACGGATCGGCGACGCACTCCAGCGCAGATTTCAGGTCGCCGGAGAGCGAGGCTTCGAGAAGTCGCTGCGAAACCTCGGCCTCGTAGTCCACCGGGAACACCTGTTTGCCGGAGAACACCGTCATTTTCCGGCGAACACGTAGCGGAGTTTGAGCTTGGAGAGTGGCGGTCTTCTTTTCTGGTGCTGCAAACTCGAGTGCGAGATAAAGAAGAGAAAACTTCAAGTGAGCGCTAGAGGGAAGGGGGAGAGGTTGCAAATTTATCGGGAGCGTTTAATTTTAAATTTTGATTTAACCACGGTTAGGAAAGACGTGGGTTAAATTATTTAACCCAAAGGTCGTGTGGTCCAAAGGCTTCCGTGGGAGAGATTCTTCATTTTGCCGAAATCACGTCCTTGTATACTAAGTTTCATAATTCAAATGATTGACAATTTGTTTTTCAAATATCTAACAATTTGTATTATGACACTTGACGTACCAGATTGTGTTCGCAATACATTGAAAAAATAATCATACTGCATTAATGTGAGTTGGTCACTTTGTTTGGACTTGAATTGGAGAAGGATTTTTATGGCACGCTTATAAAGTCACATTGGTGATTTATGTCAATAAAAATAACAATGTATGTTTCCTTTTACACGGTATTTTTTTTGTTAGTTATAAGTATGACAGCGTATCCGTGTTATATAAGTTACTCTTCTTTGAGTTTTGTCAGTATCACTAGAAAAAAAACTTCATACGTATGCCCTAACTAAGTTATTTGTAGGCCGCATCTCACAATTGTATTAACTCCGCGTATTTTGGTTCCGTTCAACCTCATATTTATTCCACTAATAGCTTGTTTACTTACCATGATTGGAATACAATGTAGGAGTATCATTGTTATTTCTCACATATAGAAGTGAATCTCACATTAAAAATATGCATTTCATTCTCAAAATTTTCAACCATGCATTGTTATCAAAAGGGGTATATTTATGTTATACATGAGATATTGTGTGTCATTTTCATATCACTTTTCATGCATTAAAATATAAGTAACGTTCATTATATTGAGTAAGTAGCTCTAATCAAACAGCCTTATCGAAGATTTACTCATGTCACCATGCTAGTAGACTAGTGACTTGACTAACATAACTCCTGAGTTGGCTTGAATCACGGACAATTTTCATCAAACACCTTCTATTTAGTTTTTTCAAGTTACATTAGAGCAAACTG